TCTCTGCAAGGTCAAAGGAAAATGGAAAAGCCACCCCATTGTCTTTTCCTTCACAAATCCTGTCTTAAGGGCACATTTAAGAGATGAATAGGGTGTGAGCCTGTGACCTGGCCCAGGAAATAAGTATTTATCATTACAAAAGACTGGCCAGGCTCTCCAGGGTATCCAATCAAGTGAGCATTAACAGATAACCTGTCAGACGAGATAAACAACAACGTACTCAGATTTCTGCTGTAGACCGTCTTTTCTGTGATGTATGTATGATGTATGGACGGGTGGTCTTGAGCTCCAGGGCAGGGAATTTAAAATGTCTATATAAGGGTGGACACACCTTTGTTCTGGGTCCTCCTCCTTTCCTGCAAGTGAGGGGAGCACCCTCTTGCAACAGATCAATAAAGATCAGTCTTACGAGCTGCTTTGCTTCTCAATATTCTCTGGTTGGCCTGTTATTTTCTCCTACCAATAGGGAACCTACGAACAAATGAATAAAGTTGTTTTTCCTGTCTGGCAGGTTATCTGATAATGCCTTATCTGATTGCCTTTCCTGGTAGTCTGGCCATTCCTTTGAGATGGTGATTACCCAATTCCTGAGACAATGGGAAGGGTCCCTCACCCCCTCCCTCCTTGCAGAGAAAACATTTGGTCAGTTTGGGAGTCAAAATGGTTTCAGGACGGTCTTCCTGTGCTGCTCCAGACATGGGGTCCACATATCTATGTACGTGCCTGGTTGGTGCATTTACGAACATTTATTTTTTTAATATTTATACACACACACACACACACACACACACACACACACACACACACAGAGTGGTACCTCGGGTTACCTACACTTCAGGTTACATATGCCTCAGGTTACAGACTCCGCTAACCCAGAAATAGTGCTTCAGGTTAAGAACTTTGCTTCAGGATGAGAACAGAAATCGTGCTCCGGCGGCGTGGCAGCAGCAGGAGGCCCCATTAGCTAAAGTGGTGCTTCAGCTTAAGAACAGTTTTTCAGGTTAAGTACGGACCTCCGGAACGAATTAAGTACTTAACCCGAAGTACCAGTGTGTGTGTGTGTGTGTGTGTGTGTGTGTGTGTGTGTGTATATATATGACCTTAATTTTTTTATTTCACAATTAAAGCATTTGAATGATCCCTGCACACAGGCCTTGGCTTGACAAGCAGCAGAAATCCTGAGGGAGGGGAAGAGCTGCCCCCTTTTCTCTCTGCAACCCCCCCCCCTGCAAGCCTAGAAAGAGGCTCCTGCAGTACAGCAGGAATGTCTTGACCAGCTGCTGATATCTGAGCCACCCCAAAGGACATTTTCTCCTTCAAGCCGTCCCTCTGTGTCCCTGCCTGTCTTCCTTCCCTCCTGCTTGTGACCTGCACATGATCCTGGGAGGGTGGAAAAATGTGCCCTCTCCTGGACTGGGAGCAGGGCATGGAGACCCTTTTGCTGAAGACACGGATAATAATAATAATAATAATAATAATAATAATAATAATAACCTTTCCCTGGAAAATCAGAGGCTCACTATGTCAGGTTCCTATTGGAAGACTGGACAAACACTAGAAAATTAGCAGTGGCAAAGTTTTTATCGGTGGTTGCAAGAACCAATGATCCCTATCTTTAAGTCTGAACAAAATGCTTGTTTAACCTGGAGGTAGGCTGTCCTAATTGTGCATTGCTTTGCAACGATTTGTTGGGTCTCTGGACCGCAATAAAGATTGATGAATGATGATGATGATGATAAATTTTATTTATACCCTGCCTTCCCCAGCCAAGACTGGGCTCAGGGCGTCGAACACCTGATATAAAAGCAATTGATTGAAATACAACTTGAAAACAAGATTAAAACACAACATTAAAACATTAAAACATTAAAATACAGCCTCATTTCAGTGGAAACTCAAATCAAAAACTTTTTGGTGGATGAAAACGTCAAGTCTTCACCAAGGGCAACTATCCAGACTGGTCCTACGTGGGCCAGAAAAAAGCCAGGGAAGTCCCCAAATAGGAGTTCCATCACAGAAGGAGAAAGGAAAGAGGGGAAGGGGATCAAGTTGATTCCAAGCCAAAGGCCAGACAGAACAACTCTGTCTTACAGGCCCTGTGGAAAGAGATCAGATCCTGCAGGGTCCTGGTCTCATAAGACAGAGTGTTCCACCAGGCTGGGGCCAGTGTTGAAAAGGCCCTGGCTCTGGCTGAGGCTAGTCTGACTTCCTTAGGGCCCGGGACCTCTAGGGTGTTGCTATTTATGGACCTTAAGGACGGGCATTCCTGCCAGCCACAAACCCTCACCCCCAGCTAGGAGCATCAAAGAACCTGCGGCAGAATCAGACCAAAGGCCACTCTGAATCAGCATCCTCCCCTCTCCGCAGTGGCCAGTCAGATGCCTCTTGGGAAGCCCATAAGCCAGACTCAAGTCGCACACCATGCTCCTGCTGTTGCACCACAGCAGCTGCTGTTCAGCGGTAGAGTGTCTCTGACACTGGAGGTTCTGCAAAGCAATCATGGCTCATAACTGTTGAGAGATAATTTCCTCCTTTGTGAATACGTCAGACTGTAAGAGTGTCGGTGCTTATTGTGATCTGAGGGTTGTCGAACAAATATTTCCGCCCGATAGTCTTTGGTGGTTGTTATTGGCACCAACAAATGTCTGTATAGTTCAAGCTATGGTTTTCCCAGTAGTGATGTATGGAAGTGAGAGCTGGACCATCAAGAAGGCTGATCGCCGAAGAATGGATGCTTTTGAATTCTGCTGCTGGAGGAGACTCTGGAGAGTCCCATGGACTGCAAGAAGATCCAATCTCTCCATTCTGAAGGAAATCAGCCCTGAGTGCTCACTGGAAGGACAGATCGTGAAGCTGAGACTCCAATACTTTGGCCACCTCATGAGAAGAGAAGACTCCCTGGAAAAGACCCTGAGGTTGGGAAAGATGGAGGGCACTAGGAGAAGGGGACGACAGAGGACGAGATGGCTGGACAGTGTTCTCGAAGCTACCAGCATGAGTTTGACCAAACTGCGGGAGGCAGTGGAAGACAGGAGTGCCTGGCGTGCTCTGGTCCAGGGGGTCACGAAGAGTCGGACACCACTAAACGACTAAACAACAATTGGCACCTGTCTGTCTCGAGAGGCAATGGAGAGTGCTATTGGGAGTGAAGTCAAACCAATGGAGAATTGCAGCGCCTGCTGTGGCTGCAGAAACCGGTAACTCATCGTTTGTGCTGCGTTAGCACCAAAGTGACTTCCGTGGGGCGCAAACTGGGCAGTGGGTCTGGAGGTCCTGGGCTGCCCAGCTGACAAGGCCCCCCTCTCAGCCTCACTGAGGGGGTCTGAAGGAATGCAAAGCAATACATTTGGCACCAGCTTGGCAGCAGGAGTTGCTGGAAGGAGGCGCACAAGGCACCATCCAACCGCCTTAGGGAGTCCAGATCCGTGTACGGTTTAATCCTGAGCCTTTCTTCTCCTTTTTTTAAAATATACATTTTTATTAGTTTTTTTATCATATCATTTCCAACAATCATATAACATAACTTCTTATCTTATACAGTACAATATTTTAGACTTCTGTCAACGCCTCTGATGATTTTCCGTTCTTTATCACTTATTCTGCATTTCTTAATTTCTCTATTACTCGTAATTATCATTAACTTATAATTCTCCTCGTAGTCTTTCTTGCAATATTTCAAATAGTCCTCCTTACAGAACTTCTTGCAGTCCTACTAGTGTAATCTGTTCATTACAATTGCTTTTCAAATAGTTCGTATATTTACTCCAGTCTTCTACGAATCTCTGATCTTGCAGGTTTCGAATCCTTCCTGTTAATTTATCCAGTTCTGCATAGTCCATCAATTTCATCCGCCATTCTTCTTTCGTCGAGCCCTTTCCTTTCCTGAAGGTGTTCAGCAAGGCAGCAGATGCGGGTTTTTTCCTTGGGGTTTGCTCCTGAAACCCTTTTCACGAATAAATATAGGCACAAGGTAGCGGAGGTTTAGCACCAGAGCATCCCTTCCCTTAGATGAGCTACTTTCCCAGGTTGATAACCTGAAAATTATAGGTTCCGTGTGTGTGATTGGAGGGATTCCTTTCATTAACATGTTCTCTGTCTTATCTTCAAGGAGCCCAGAAAACTTCCTTTTTCTACCAGCTGTGGAAGAATGGCAGATGAAGATGATGTATTTTATGGAGCTGGCTGATCTCACTGGGAGAATCCACGACCAGAAAGAAGAGGAATATCAAGAAGACTGGAAGAAATTTAAAGATTATTTGAATAAACAGTGTAATATTAAATATTAGTAGTTACTTGAAGGTACTAAATAGGCCTAGGACTAAATTAGGACTAAATAAATAAATGAGACAGAGAATGTTAAGAAAAGTTAAGAAATTTGATTATAATCGGAATATTGTTTTTTTGAATAATGATATTTGGAAAACTGCTATATTCAGTTCCAAGGAAATTCAGATGGAAGAGATTAGAGGAAGTCAAGTAATATGTTTATGAAGTTGGAAGTTTTATTGTCTATGTGTTGGTGGTTATCATTTGCTATATCTTTTTTTTAATTTTTCTTTTCTTTTTGTTTCATTGATTGTATAGTATGTGTTGTATTTGTATGAAACTTAATTTTTCTTTGCTGGAGAATGTAAACCAAGCCAACAAATCAACAGCCTGCCCCTGAATCTGTCGCAAGCAAAAAGCACTCTGCATATGCACAGCGCACTCATGCTTCTGAGGCTGAGCTCTGTCCCTGAAAACAAGGTCTGAGTGTGAGAGAGAGACGAATCCTGAGGCTTGTGTGTGTGTGTTTGTGTGCATACCTGCTTGCCCTCTAGGGAACAGGGGCCTGGAGAGTTGTGGGTCTCCCCTAGGAGGGTGGCTTTGGCCCTAGGGTGGCGGGTGGACTGCAGGCAGCCGGCAGGATTTAAATTTAGTGGCTGAGCCTCTTGGGGGCTGGGCCTGGAGGCAGCTGCTCTGGCAAAGGTCAGCCCAGCCTGTCCGGCTGCCTGGGAGGCAGGGAGGGACGGAGGGGGCGCTTGGCTGGAGGAGGGGAGCTGCCAAGAGGACGCCTGGCTGGGACAGCAAAGGAGCCCAGGAGAGGCTGCTGTCAGGAAGAGAGCGAGCGACAGAGGAGGAGGAAGGGGCAGCAGGTCCGGGGGGCAGTGCCCAACAGCACCCTCTGCAGCCTGGCACAGGTAAGGCAGGGCAGAGGGGGCAGTGCCACGACTCCTGTCTTTGACTGCGAGAGTCAGGCTTGCTCAGGAACGGCGGAGATCTTCTTTGCTTCCTAAGATCTCTTAGTAAGAAAAACACCCAAATGGATTTCGCCAACGGAAGCACAGGCCCCCAAAAAGTTAAATATGGAAAATAAATGGTTGAGGTACTCAGATTTGTTGTTAGAGGTTTTAAATTAAAACCATTTGAACAAATTAAAGATAAAGTGAATTGGTTGCAATATTATCAAATTAATGAAATATATAAGATGGATGGGAGAAACGGTTTTGCAACCGAAAAAACCAAATTGGAAACGGAGTTGTTAGATGCTAAAGTTAAGAATATGTCTAAAATGTATAATTTGTTGTTGGAGTGGCATACAAAGGATGAACAGGTTCAATCGGTTATGATTGATTGGGCAAGAGATGTGGGACATAATATAAGGGCAGCGGAGATCTTCTTTGCTCCACCCTTGCAATTGCCGGGGGCTGCACAACGAAATATTCAGAGGCCCATATTCCAAGCAAGGGGGTCCCAAAGTGGATGGTGCAGCCCCCTGCAGGAGGGTGGGTTTTATCTGGGGGGGCAAGGGGCAGCAGGGGCACAGGAGCTTTTAAGTGACTCTCTGAAAATCTGGATCAAGCTCGTCAGTTTTCTTTAATCGATTCAACTCGATAGCCTCAACTGGATTTTGAATATATAACGGCGTTGTAGGGATGGGAGGGACCCCAAGGGGTCATCTAGTCCAACCCCCTGCAATGCAGGGGACACAGCTGAAGAATCCCGGACAGGTGACCATTCACCTCTGTATAAAAGATGCAGAAGAGTCCACAACTTTCCCAGGGAGTCGGTTCCGCTGTTGGAGAGCTCTTGCCGCCTGAAAGTTCTTCCTGATGTTCAGTTGGAATCTCCTTCCTGGAAATTTGAATCTGTTGGATCGGGTCCTCCCCTCCAGAGCAGGAATAAACAAGCAGTCAGTGTGCAATTAAGTGTTCCTGCTTTGAACCTTACTCTGTCGTCATCTGCCGTACTGGGTCATGCCACCCACTATTCTGAACAAGTCTTTTTATAGGGTAGGTGGCGCCAGGGAGGAGTTGATGGAACCGAGGCGGTGTGGGGTCCCGGAAAAGTTTGGGGGCCGCTGGTCCTAGCCATCTGGGGGCAGCAGCCGGAGCCAGGGGGCACCCCTGCTGAAATAGACTCGGAGTCGAGAGTGGATTTTATGTTCTTTATTCAGCTCATAGTGGTGAGGAGGAATGGAAGTTCCACCAGAATGTCTGCTTTATATACATTATTTACATAACGGGCCCCACATGATTGGCTAATTCCGGGATTCTCCTGTAGGCCAATCAGGTTGTGGATTCAGTTCCATCTGGAGCTGGATTGGGTGGCTCCTGTGGACCAATCAGACTGCTGCATTCTGAATCCTATTGTTCTAGGACCAATCAGACTGCTGCATTCTGGATCCTATTGTTCTAGGACCAATCAGACTGCTGCGTTCTGAATCCTATTGTTCTAGGACCAATCAGACTGCTGCGTTCTGAATCCTATTGTTCTAGGACCAATCAGACTGCTGCGTTCTGAATCCTATTGTTCTAGGACCAATCAGACTGCTGCATTCTGAATCCTATTGTTCTAGGACCAATCAGACTGCTGCATTCTGGATCCTATTGTTCTAGGACCAATCAGACTGCTGCATTCTGAATCCTATTGTTCTAGGACCAATCAGACTGCTGCATTCTGAATCCTATGGTTCTAGGACCAATCAGACTGCTGCGTTCTGAATCCTATTGTTCTAGGACCAATCAGACTGCTGCGTTCTGAATCCTATGGTTCTAGGACCAATCAGACTGCTGCATTCTGGATCCTATTGTTCTAGGACCAATCAGACTGCTGCATTCTGGACCCTATTGTTCTAGGACCAATCAGACTGCTGCGTTCTGAATCCTATTGTTCTAGGACCAATCAGACTGCTGCATTCTGGACCCTATTGTTCTAGGACCAATCAGACTGCTGCATTCTGGATCCTATTGTTCTAGGACCAATCAGACTGCTGCATTGTGGATCCTGTTCAACTCAGTACATAACACTCGCCATCTGCTGGAGCTTTCCAGGAGTCCTTGAGCAAAAGACGCCTTCAGAAACGGCATCACTTACAAGGACGGTGCCCGTAGCCCCTTCCTGGTGCAGACCATGTGAAATATACTCGGATTCGAGAGTGGATTTCATGCTCTTTATTCAGCTCATAGTGGTGAGGAGGGATGGAAGTTCCCCCATAGTATCTGCTTTATATACATTATTTACACAATGGGCCCCACGTGACTGGCTAGTTCCGGGATTCTCCTGTAGGCCAATCAGGTTGTGAATTCACTTCCATCTGGAGCTGGATTGGGTGGCTCCTGTGGACCAATCAGACTGCTGCATTCTGGATCCTATTCAACTCAGTACATAACACCCTGTCAATCTTCTTTCCTGTCCACAGAGATGCTCTGTGCTGGCCAGGTGGGGGGCCTGGAGATCAGTCCATGGGGCTGTGAGGCGCCCTGCCCATGTGTGGTCCTCTGGGACTGTGGAGCTGAGAGGCGCCTGCCTTTCAAGGAGAAGAGAGCTGTGCTGCTCTCCTGTGGAGGTGGAGAGGCATTTTATTTTATGTATTAAATTTGCAGCCATCCGTTCTGGCTCATTCCCTGGGACTGGAGAAGGGCGCTGTCAGAGCTGGCTCCAGGTCCCAGCTCACAGAGGACCAACGCTAGCCGGCAGTAATGTACAAAAGTCTTTATTGAAGTACAGTTTCCATTTTCAAGCCGGAGCGCCCCAGCTCTACGTCTAGGGGTTAGATCGGCGAAGCTCCATCTGAGTCTCCGCCCCTGTACACCAGTTTAAGATTCTAGCCTTACTCCACCTCTTACGTCTCTCCTTTCTCCTCTGGGTCCTGCTACCCCCCGGGGTCCCTTCCTTCCTGGATTCTTCTGACGCTGACCCTCCTGACTCCTCCCCCTCTTTTCGGCGGGCTTTGGGACCTGGCTCCCTATCCGGGCTGCCAACTGCGCCGCCCTCCTGTACATTTGAACTTGGCGCGCGCGCCCAGCCTTCAACCTTCCTCTCGACCGTTTCCTCGCTCCCCGATGGAGGCGTGGCCAATCCTGACTCATGTCCTCCCACTGGCAGTGCGCCGCCTGATCCCGATGCCTGGGACTCCTCCCCCCCTACTGCACTCTGGTGTGGACGCTGGTCCTGATTTCCAACTGCTGCTCTCTGAGTCCCCTCTGGCCCCTTCTTCCTGGGGTGTCCCCTCGGCACCCCCTTGCTCTGACCAAGGGAGCCCCTTTCTGTGAATCTTCCGATTCGCTGGAAAGACTCAGAGACCTCGGACCGCTGTCATCGCTAACATTTCCTTCGGACTCCTCCCCCTCGCTCTCTATTTCCTCCCTTTCCTGTGCCTCTGCTCCTGAACCCCTGACAGGCGCCCAGTTCTGCGCACCATTTCTCCACTAGAGGCCAAAGGGAAAATGCCTTGCCATTGCTGTATGCCCACTCCATGCCCACCCAAAGCCTCCTTCTCCACTGGGTGGCAGGGGCAGAGAGGAGAAAAACTGCAAGTACCCACCTTGAGGTCCTCAGAGGAAAGTGGGAATATAAATTAAGGTTGCCAGACGTCCCCGTTTCCCGGGGACAGTCCCCGGATTTGCAAACCAGTCCCCATACAAAATCCACTGAAGTTGAAAAGTGTCCCCGGATTCACTGAAAAAAAATCTGGTAACCTTAATATAAATGTAGTAGAATAATAGAACCGTAGAACTGTAAAGTTGGGAGGGTCTATTAGTCATTGCAGGAATAGAATAAAATCAAATATTGCAGGGAGCAGTCCCAGTGCCAGTCCTGCAACCCAGATCAGGAATTGCAAAATGAACGGTCAGTTCTCCAACCGCAGGCCTGGGTGCAGGATGAGGCTCAGGCACACCCACCCACTGAGAGCCTATCGAGAGGCTGCAAGAGGACACCTCCCTCTCCTCCCAGCCAGCTCGGGGGGTGGGGGTGCCAAGACCTACCTGGCTTGACTCTGCCCTTGATCCTTGCATTGTCCCATCCAGTGGGATGCCCTGGATAGTTCAGTTAGCTAGTTTGTGGGTCCTGATAATGCCAAAGTTGCAGGTTCAATCCCCAAATGGGGCAGCTGAATATTCCTGCATTGCAGGGGGTTGGGCTGGATGACCTTCAGGGTCCCTCTCAACTCTATGATTCTAGGATTAATATCTTTTGTGGATAATAATAATAATAATAATAATAATAATAATAATAATTTATTTATACCCCTCCCTTCCCGGTTCAAAAAGCAGGCTCTGGGGGGCTAACAACAAATTTAAAATACTTAATTGTAAAAGCAGCATAAAATACAGCATAAAAACATGAATAACAATAAAATTCAAAATTCAGAAATCAATTTAGGGGAAATAAGCATTAGATGGGCCGCGGGTTGCGCTGTGGGTTAAACCACAGAGCCTAGGACTTGCTGATCAGAAGGTTGGCGGTTCAAATCCCCGCGACGGGGTGAGCTCCCGTTGCTCGGTCCCTGCCCCTACCAACCTAGTAGTTCGAAAGCTCGAAGTGCAAGTAGATAAATAGGTACCACTCCTGTGGGAAGGTAAACGGCGTTTCCGTCCACTGCTCTGGTTCGCCAGAAGCTGCTTAGTCATGCTGGCCACATGACCCGGAAAGCTGTCTGCGGACAAATGCCGGCTGCCTCGGCCAATAAAGCGAGATGAGCACCGCAACCCCAGAGTCGGCCATGACTGGACCTAATGGTCAGGGGTCCCTTTTATCTTTACCTTTAAGCATTAGATAATCCCCAGGGCTAGCTGGCTGAATTGGTCCTATTTGGGCCAGTGAGGAGACCAGGGGAGAATTAGCTGTGGGATCCCAGAGCGGGTAATCTTCATAAAAAGGGGAGGGGGAGGGAAGGAAGGGGAATAAAAGATCAAGCTGAATTCAAATTGAAAGCCATGCGGAATAGCTCTGTCTTGCAGGCCCTGCGGAAGGAGGTTAAATCCTGCAGGGCCCTGGTCTCCTGGGACAGAGCATTCCACCAGGTCGGAGCCATCACTGAGAAGGCCCTGGCTCTGGTGGAGGATAGTCTGGCTTCCTTAGGGCCTGGGACCTCTGAACTATGGTTATTCATGGACCTTAAGGTCCTCTGCGGGGGCAGACCAGGAGAGGTGGTCCCATAGATACGAGGGCCCTAAGCCACAAAGGGCTTTAAAGGTCAAGACCAGCAACTTGAACCTGACCCTGTACTCCACCGGGAGCCAGTGCAACTGGTAAAACATAAATGACGACATAAAAGTAAAATGCGGGCACGGAGGTTCTGGGTGCTGCTTGCATGATGAGACCTGGGTGTTGGTGGTAAAGGAGAAGCAGCTGGGTAGTAATCTGCCTGCAAGAGCCCATTGATCTCGTTGGGTGCAGTCAAATTAATTACCAGTATTATTCTTAATTAGTTTATTATCTGCCCTTCACCCCAAGGTTCCCTGGCGGGTTCGTGCATTGAAACCAATTTAAAACGAGGGCATTAATTAAATCAGTGCACTAACCACCTGCGTTGCTCAAGAGACAGGCATCCAGTGAGGATTCTTGCCTCATAATGCCTCAGGGGATGTTTCATTCCTCAGTCCAGAGACATACCTGAAAAGAAACTGGGTGAAATGGCAATATTTTCAGTCTCCTGACTGGGTGTTCTCAGATTACTCTGCAATTATGTGAACTGTGCTACCGAGACCAGCAGTTCCCAGACTTTTTTGGGCACCTCCCCAAAAGCATTCCTGACAGATGTCCATCCGACCTCTGCTTAAAAACCTCCAAGGAGGGAGAGTCCGCCATCTTCCGAGTCAGAATCTCCTTCCTTGTGACTTGAAGCCATGGGTTCGAGTCCTGCCCTCCAGAGCGGGAGAAAACAAGCTTGCTCCACCTTCCACGGGACAGCTCTTCAGATATTTGAAGATTTACGTGAGTCAATCGCCGCTCCCTTTCTCCCTCTCTCGCTCACGTACCCCCGACAATTCCATTTCCACCCACGGCTCATCGAATCCCAGAACTGTAGAGTTGGAAGGAGACCCCCAAAGGACATCTAGTCCTACCCTCTGCAATGCAAAATAATTTAAAAGGGCATTTGGAGGGCCGGCAGAAATTCCGCTGTGGAAGCTCTTCCCTGTTCAGGGAAGTTTTTAATGTGTGGCATTTTAGCGTATTTTTGGTCTTTGTTGGAAGCGGCCCAGAGTTGCTGGGGAAACCCAGCCAGATGGGCAGGGTACAAATAAATAATAATAATAATAATAATAATAATAATAATAATAATAATAATTCCAGGCATTTGGAAGGGGAAAGCTGCACCTGTTATGATTCTGCCTGTCACCTGGCTGTTTGAGGCACACAGCAGAAAAACGGGCAGCAACCTCAGTTCCTTTTCTCTGGAGTTTGGACAGGGAGGAATGGAGCAAAGTGCAGGGCAGGCAGGTGATGGGGTGAGGTGGGTGGGGTCAACGAACGCTTGCTGCACCAGCTGTTGCCCCAGGTGCCCTGATTTGTCTGCCGCAGGTTCAGGATCCTCTCTCCAGGTGATAGAGGCCTAGGACTGTAGATTGGAAGGGATCCCCAGGGTAGCCTTAGCCTTAAAAGCGAAACACCTGCTTCTTGAGGCACAGGCACAGTATTGCCAAAAAGCCTTCCTGCATAGCTCAACTGGGTAGAGCGTGGGGCTGATAAGTCCAAGGTTGCAGGTTTGATCCCTATCTGGGACAGCTGTGTCTTCTTGCATGATCCTCAGGGTCCCCACTCCCAACTCTACAGTTCTATGATTCTGTGATTCCCTAATCACAGAGGCGGTTGAAGAATGGATGGCGGCTAACGGATTGAGGTTGAATCCTGACAAGACAGAAGTACTGTTTTTGGGGGACAGGGTGTGGGCGGGTGTGGAGGACTCCCAGGTCCTGAATGGGGCAACTGTGCCCCTGAAGGACCAGGTGTGCAGCCTGGGAGTCATTCTGGACTCAAAGCTGTCCATGGAGGCGCAGGTCAATTTTGTGTCCAGGGCAGCTGTCTACCAACTCCACCTGGTAAGCGGGATGAGACCCTCCCTGCCCGCGGACTGTCTGGCCAGAGTGGTGCATGCTCTAGTTATCTCTCGCTTGGACTACTGCAATGCGCTCTGTGTGGGGCTACCTTTGAAGGTGACCCGGAAACTACAACTAATCCAGAATGAGGCAGCTAGACTGGTGACTGGGAGCGGCCGCCAAGACCACATAACACCGGTCTTGAAAGACCTACACTGGCTCCCAGTACGTTTCCGAGCACAATTCAAAGTTTTGGTGCTGACCTTTAAAGCCCTCAACGGCCTCAGCCCAGCAGACCTGAAGGAGCGTCTCCACCCCCATCGTTCTGCCCGGACACTGAGGTCCAGCTCTGAGGGCCTTCTGGCGGTTCCCTCACTGCGAGAAGCCAAGTTTCAGGGAACCAGGCAGAGGGCCTTCTTGGTGGTGGCACCCGCCCTGTGGAACGCCCTCCCACCAGATGTCAAAGAGAAAAACAACTACCAAACTTTTAGAAGACATCTGAAGGCAACCCTGTTTAGGGAAGTTTTTAATGTTTGATGCTTTACTGTATTTTAATATTGTGTTGGAAGCCACCCAGAGTGGCTGGGGAAGCCCAGCCAGATGGGCGGGGTATAAATAAATTATTATTATTATTATTAAATACCTGACAGCCAGCTGGTTGTTGGCTGTTTCAGAAGCAAGAGGAACTTTGACAGGCGTCAGTCACCTGGTGTCATTATGAAGTCAGAGGATTGACAGCTGGGCTGCCCCACCCACCTGCCCAAGCTGGCTTGGGGGGTTGGGAAGAGAAGACTGTGGCCCCATTGGGTCAAAGAAAGGTCCCCCTCCTTTCTCCAAATGCTCACGTTTCCCCAGCAGCTTGTGGGGTCCAGAGAGTACCCAGGTTTGCCCCCTCCCCAGTAAACGTAACCCACTGGGACAAGGGAGCTATCCCATAATAGCTACAACTGAGCCAGCGGCTGCTCAGCCAAGGACCTTTCCCCCTCACCAGGATGGCCTTATCTCTGTTTGCTCAGCGAAGGAGAGGCCGTGCCAGTTTTCCATGCCATGTTTCTCTGACGCTGGTGCCCTGGCACTTAAGGAAAACACCTCCTTGCAAACAGAACCTCCTTGCAACAACCTTCCCGTTTGTGACAGCAAGCAGGTCTCCCCGGAGGAGCAGGCAAGAAGGGGAGCCTGTGCATCAGAGCGCAGGCCTCCAGGAATAATAATAAATTTTTATTTATACCCCGCCCTTCCTGGTTCAAAAACCGGGCTCAGGGCGGCTAACAACAAATTTAAAAACACTTTAAAACACTTAATTGTAAAAGCAGCATAAAATACAGTATAAAAACATGAGTAACAATAAAATTCTAAAGACAAAAATCAATTAGATAATCCCCAGGGCTAGCTGGCTGAGTTGGTCCTACTTGGGCCAGTGAGGAGACCAGGGGAGAATTAGCTGTGGGATCCCAGAGCAGGTGATCTTCATAAAAGGGGAGGGGGAGAGAAGGGAAATAAAAGATCAGGCTGAATTCAAATTAAAGGCCAGGCGGAATAGCTCTGTCTTACAGCCCTGCGGAAAGTGGTTAAATCCTGCAGGGCCCTGGTCTCCTGGGAGAGAGCGTTCCACCAGGTCAGAGCCATCACTGAAAAGGCCCTGGCCCTGGAGGAGGATAGTCTGACTTCCTTAGGGCCCGGGACCTCTAGACTATGGGAAGTGTCTTTCTCACAGTCGCCAATCAGCAGGCTCTCCTTACGCGCTTATGATCCTGCGCAGAGCATGCAGCTGTCGTGACTACCAGCCCTTGAGAGTGCCTTAAAAAAAAGTTCTTATTTTCTTGGATACACATTTTAAGTCTATTTAATTAGTACAGTGGTACAGTGGTGCCTCGCAAGACGAAAAGAATCCGTTCTGGGAGTCTCTTCGTCTAGCGGTTTTTTCGTCTTGCGAAGCAAGCCCATTGACGGGATTAGCGGATTAGCGCTATTAGCGCTATTAGCGGCTTAGCGGCTTTTAGCGGCTTTTAGCGGCTTTTAGCAGCTTATCAGCTTATCGGATAAGCAGATAAGCGGCTTAGCGACTTAGAAAAGAGGGGGAAAGGAAAAAAAACCCAGGAACTCGCAAGACATTTTCGTCTTGCGAAGCAAGCCCATAGCAGATTCGTTTTGCGAGGCACCTCCAAAACGGAAAACTCTTTCGTCTAGCGAGTTTTCCGTCTTGCGAGGCATTCGTCTTGCGGGGCACCACTGTACCTCGGGTTACATACGCTTCAGGTTACAGACTCTGCTAACCCAGAAATAGTGCTTCAGGTTAAGAACTTTGCTTCAGGATGAGAACAGAAATTGTGCTCCGGCGGCGCAGCAGCAGCAGGAGGCCCCATTAGCTAAAGTGGTGCTTCAGGTTAAGAATAGTTTCAGGTTAAGAACAGACCTAGGAGCCTTTTTTTTAGTTGGTGGCCGTCCTAGCCTCTTGTGGCAGTGAGTTCCACAGTTTAACAAAGCCCTGTGTGAATAGTCACATATTTTTCTCTGCCCTAAATCTTCCAGGGTGCAGCAGCCATGCTAGGTGACTCTGCTGGGATGCAGAGAGAGTTCTGTGTGCTTCTAGCTCAGGGGTCAGTACCCTTTTTCAGCAGGGGGCCGGACCACACTGTCTCTCAGACCTGGTGGGGGGGCCCGACTATATTTTTTTTTGGGGGGGGGGAATGAACAAATTCCTATGCACCACAAATAACCCAGAGATGCATTTTAAATAAAATCTCACTGTATACAAGTTGTACAAGTGACAATAAAGTATTTCAAAAGGGCACATTCTACTCATGTAAGAACACGCTGATTCCTGGACCGTCCATGGGCCAGATTTAGAAGGCGATTCGGCCGAATCCGGCCCCCGGGCCTTAGTTTGCCCACCCATGTTCTAGGAGATCAGTATTTGCAAGTGCGATTCAAGTGCATGTCAAATGTTTAGCTTTGTGACCTCGAGGGAGAATCAAGTACTCTGCTGTTTTGGTGCAACACACACACAACACATTTTGCAATTTGGCGAGTAATGGAGAAATGCCTTGAAAACTAGGCTGAATGAATGACTGAAGGCACAGAAACAATAGCAAAGAAGGGTGAATGCTCAATAAGGACCAGATGCGATCTAACCTCTGCTTAAGCTTTGTGCAAACAAATCAGGAATTATTATAAGATTGTCTTGAGAGTACTCTGAAAGAGGAGAAAGACAATCTCTCTGTTCTCTGCGAAGCCTGGTCCAGGATGCTAGACTAGCCCCTTAAGCTCAGACTGGGTGGATTTGGCCTGGCATGAGGGACCTGTAACAAATGTAGAAAAATGGATGAATTTATCACACCATTCCCCCCCTTCTGCACCTACTGCAGCCAAGTACAGTCCATAACTTCCTCTAGACCTTTTCCAGTTAATTGCACCATCCCCTGACGACTGCAGGCTGGTTGGTGGTTGTAACATTTCCACAAGTCCCATTGAGCAGCCCATGGACAGGTTTTTGCGCTTTCTCTGGGTGTGGTTCCCACAGCTTCTTATCTCCAGCTTTTAGCCATGCAGCCAGAAAAGCGCTTCCAGCTGGTTTGGTGCATTCCTCAGTCTGCATTTCTGACACTGTGTGATAATTCTGGGTCTGCAGACAGACCAGAGGAAGGAGGGATGGCTTCAAACGACTTCCTTTCTTAGACCAACTTCTGCAACAGCCTCTGGAACCTGACGGGAACTGCCTGGGCCATGAGAAAGCCCTCAACTCACCCACTTCTTAATGTCTCAAAGTTACTCCAAGTTACTTGGACGATTGCCTCTGGGAATCTGCCCACCCTGTCAGATCAGCTGCAGAGACACTCTTGAGAGACCCTGCAACATAGTTCTCCTGAGGTTCAGATGGAGGCAGCGAGGGAGAGACCCTTCAGGTGTGGACCTCCCCACCTCAAGAGGTTAGCTTTTCTCTTCTTCTTTCTTTGGCTGTCACCGGCCACGGAAAACTTTCCTTTACAAGCAAGCTTTTCATCCTGTTGCGGATTCCTGGTTCTGCTCTTTCAGGTTCCGCTGCTCCTTCTCGCCACAGCTGTCTAAGTCCCCTGCCCTCCAGGCTTTCCCCCAAACAATTGGAGACTATGCCTGCAGGAAGTGAACTTCTCCACCACCCTCTTCATGCCTCTTCTGGTCCTGGGAGACCAGCAGGGAGAGGAGTTGTTGCAGTGGGAGAGGGGGAGAGAGAGACACCCATGCCTTTTCTATAATAATAATAATAATAATAATAATAATTTTTTATTTATATCCCACCCTCCCCAGCGAAAGCTGGGCTTAGAGCGGCTAACAACAATAAAAGTAACACAGCATTCTAAAATCAATTCATTCTAAAATCAATTCAGAATCAAATTCATAGCAACCATTGGGCTAGAGTTCTCTGAGGATTACCAAAGAAGGGGGTCAGACTGTGCTTTGGCCAAAGGCCTGGTGGAACAGCTCCGTCTTGCAGGCCCTCCGGAAAGATGTCAAGTCCCGCAGGGCCCTGGTCTCTTGGGACAGAGCGTTCCACCAGATCGGGGCCACAGCCGAAAAAGCCCTGCCTCTGGTTGAGGCCAGCCTAACCTCCCTGTGGCCTGGGACCTCCAAGATGTTTTTGTTTGAAGACCGTAAGGTCCTCCGCGGGACATACCAGGAGAGGCGGTCCCGTAGGTACGAGGGTCCTAGGCTGTATAGGGCTTTAAAGGTTAAATCCAGCACCTTAAACCTGACCCTGTACTCCACCGGGAGCCAGTGCAGCTGGTATAGCACTGGATGAATGGGATCCCGTGGCGAAGACCCCGTAAGGAGTCTCGCAGTGGCATTCTGCACCCGCTGGAGTTTCTGGGTCAGTCTCAAGGGCAGCCCCACGTAGAGCGAGTTACAACAGACTCATTTCTGCCTCTTTTCCTCTCTCTTCTCCTGCTTCCACTTCTGCCTCTGAGTCTGGACTTCTCTCTGCCACAAACTCTCCCTGCTCACTAAGCCCTGTTACCCCTTCAGCTTCTGATGTGGGAATGTTCAGGGAGGCAAGAGAAGATATATTGTTTATTAATATCCTTCCTAACTTGTGCTAGCAAGTTCTATCACTTAGCAGAGTTTACATTCCCCTTCTCACGCACAGCAGATAGCTGGTTGCAGGCTCGTGTGAGCCTCTCACTATTATACAATTCAATCTGTCTCAGATTGAATTGTATAGTTCCTGGTTGTTGTTGTTGTTGTTTAGTCATTTAGTCGTGTCCGCCTCTTCATGACCCCTTGGACCAGAGCACGCCAGGCCCTCCTGTCTTCCACTGCCTCCCTCATACTGGTAGCTTCAAGAACACTGTCCAACCATCTCGTCCTCTGTCGTCCCCTTCTCCTTGCACCCTCCATCTTTCCCAACATCAGGGTCTTTTCCAGGGAGTCTTCTCTTCTCAGGAGGTGGCCAAAGTCTTGGAGCCTCAGCTTCACAATCTGTCCTTCCAGTGAGCACTCAGGGCTGATTTCCTTCAGAATGGAGAGGTTTTGATAGTTCCTGGTAAATTCCCTTTAGTCCCTCTTGAAAGAATAAACACACGGCAATCTTATTCAAAGTCAATAAAAGAAGTTTGCCCACATCAGTTCACAGTCGGATTCATGAAGGCAGACTTAGTTACAAATATATACATGTGGCTCTACCCCATGAGGAGGCAAACCCAGTGCTTCTGCTAGCTGAGAAGCTATCAGGTCACTCCAAGATAAGAAGCTGGGCAAACGATGAAGGAAGCGGGGGGAAATGATAGAGGGTGGCAGCATGCTTTGTCCTTTTGTTACCTGGACAGGTAAGGTCGTGCCCACCTCTGGTCACATGCAAGAGGAAAGATGCTCCAGTCAGGAGGAAGAGGAAGTTTTGACTGGCTGGACCAAACATTCCCACGCATGTCCAGTCTAGGAAGACAAGGAATGTTGTACATCACTGCTCCCAGTGGATCACATCCCACACCTGACACCTCTTCCTCCCCATCTTCTTCCTTTTCTCCCTCTGACCACAAATTGACCCACACACCCCAGTCCCTGAGCTCTGAGCTTTCTTCCCTGGGGGGGCTCCCCACCCGGTGCCTCCCACCATTCCTCTCTGCGTCCAACCAGCCCATGACAATGGGCCATAGTCCTGATCCATCAGGACTCTTCCTGTGGTCTAAGGAAAGCAGAGTAAAGGTGAAAGTAAAGGGACCCCTGACCATTAGGTCCAGTCGTGGCTGACTCTGGGGTTGCGGCGCTCATCTCACTTTATTGGCCGAGGGAGCTGGTGTACAGCTTCGGGGTCATGTGGCCAGCATGACTAAGCCGCTTCTGGCGAACCAGAGCAGCGCAGGGAAACGCCGTTTACCTTCCCGCCGGAGTGGTACCTATTTGTCTACTTGCACTTTGAGGTGCTTTCGAACTGCTAGGTTGGCAGGAGCAGGGACCGAGCAACGGGAGCTCACCCCATAGCTGGGATTTGAACCGCTGACCTTCTGATCGGCAAGCCCTAGGCTCTGTGGTTTAACCCACAGCGCCACCCGTGTCCCAGGAAAGCAGAGTAGAATTTTCATAAATGGATAAATAAATGTCGCAGGCGCTGTCGAATTGGAACGGATGCCCCAGAGGAGGCATGGGGTCTTTGCCTTCCTGGGCCGCCTCTTGCCATTTGCACTGACCCTGAGAATTCTCCCGATGTTCTGTTCCGGAAGGTTCTGCTCTGTCGCTCACAAGGCAAGAGAACCCCCTGGAGTCGCTGGGACCCAAGTTCAAGCTCTGGCGAGGGAAGGATGAGGGTCCTCAGCCCCAAGGCGGAATGAGAAGGGCGCTGGGGGCCACCTGAGCATGGAGCAATGGCAGGTGAGGGGAAGGGTGACAATCTCTAAAGGGGCCCTGAAATTCCCAGGTAATAATAATAATAATAATAATAATAATAATAATAATAATTTATTTATATTCCGCCCATCCGGCTGGGTTTCCCCAGCCCCTCTGGGCAGCTGCCAACAGATTAAAAACAGAATAAAACTTCACACATTAATAATAATAATAATAATAATAATTTATTTATACCCTGCCCTTCCCGACCAGAGCTGGGCTCAGGGTGGCTAACACCAGTAAAATTACAGTAAAAACATAATAAGGGGGGGGGGGAACCAATTTAAAATACGTTAAAATGCAATTTAAAATGCAGCCTCATTTTAAAAGTCAAAACCATAAGGGGAGGGAAACATAAGGGTCAGAGTGAGTCCAAACCAAAGGCCAGGCGGAAAAGCTCTGTCTTGCAGGCGCTGCGGAAAGATGGCAAGTCCCACAGGGCCCTGGTCTCTTGTGACAGAGCGTTCCACCAAGTCCGGGCCAGTGCTGAAAAGGCCCTGGCCCTTGTTGAGACCAGCCTAACCTCCCTGTGGCCTGGGATCTCCAAGATGTTTTTGTTGAAGACCATAAGGTCCTCCGTGGGACATACCAGGAGAGGCGGTCTTGTAGGTACGAGGGTCCTAGGCCGTATAGGGCTTTAAAGGTCAAAACCAGCACCTTAAACCTGACCCTGTACTCCACTGGGAGCCAGTGCAGTTGGTAAAGCACTGGGTGAATGTGATCCTGCGGCAAGGACCCCGTAAGGAGCCTCGTCGCAGCATTCTGAAAATTAAAATTTTCCCTAAACCGGGGTGCCTTCTAAAAGTCAGATAGTTGTTTATTTCCTTGATATCTGATGGCAGAGCATTCTACAGGGCTGGTGCAACCACCGAGAAGGCCCTCTGCCTGGTTCTGTTAGGTGCTATCATGGAGCAACCCCCTAGTCAATTCTGTGTCCAGGGGGGCTGTCTACCAGCTCCATCTGGTATGCAGGATGAGACCCTATCTGCCCGCAGACTGTCTCACCAGAATGGTGCATGCTCTGGTTGTCTCCTGCTTGGACTACTTCAATGCACTCTATGTGGGGCTACCTTTGAAGGTGACCTGGAAACTACAACAAATCCTGAATGCGGCAGCTAGACTGGTGACTGGGAGCGGCCGCCGAGACCACATAACATCGGTCTTGAAAGACCTACATTGGCTCCCAGTATGTTTCCGTGCACAATTCAAAGTGTTGGTGCTGACCTTTAAAGACCTAAACGGCCTTGGCCCAGTATACCTGAAGGAGTGTCTCCACCCCCATCATTCAGCCCGGACACTGAGGTCCAGCGCCGAGGGCCTTCTGGCGGTTCCCTCCCTGCGAGAAGCCAAGTTACCAGGAACCAGGCAGAGGGCCTTCTCAGTGGTGGCACCTGCCCTGTGGAACACCCTCCCACCTGATGTCAAAGAGAACAACAACTACCAGACTTTTAAAAGACATCTGAAGGCAGCCCTGTTTAGGGAAGCTTTTAATATTTGATGCATTGCTGTATTTTAATATTGTGTTGGAAGCCACCCAGAGTGGCTGAGGAATCCCAGCCAAATGGGCGGAGTATAAATAATAAATTGTTATTAGTATTATTATTACTTGAAGAAGATAACAGTGCTTACCCAGATCTCATTGCCATTTGTGAACCCATTCAGGCTTCAGCGCACCAGAAATGTAGCTCCATCACTGGGCCCAGGGATGCCACCAGAAACCAGATGCTTGTTTTTTGGTCAGTCGCTCTGGCGCGGGTCAGCTGCCTCCTGCCAGAATGCCCAGTCATAGAATGAGCGCCTTTTGCTCGGGTGCCAGGTGAGGCCCCTACAGCTGCCTCTTCCCGCTTGGAAAAACCAGGATTTGCTGGGACACTGGCAGAAAACGTGATGGAGGAATCGTTTCCGCGGCTGCCCCGGGAGAAAGGGGGCAGTTGACGGGTATGCAGAAACTGGGGGAATGGGAAGCTGCTTATAACCAGGTTGCCTCCAGTCTGTCGGTATTTTGCAGGAGGAGTTCACCTTTACATTTGTGCATTTAAAATGGATTCAAGTTCTTTTGCCGTGGCACAACAAAGTCGCAACACCAGCAAAGCACCAGACTTTTTGCGCCACTCCATATGACCCATTTACTGAGCATCCTTCCTGATTTGCTTGCCCAAAGCGTACGCAGAAATTAAACCAAGGAGGGGAGGACCACGCCTTGAGCAACTTGCAGGGAAGATGGGATATAAATGTCATGAACAGAGCAGCTGGCATCAGTTTCCCACCCGCTCTGGTCAAGATGCCAACCTGGGGGCTTCCGATTATTGAGCTCTGGGCGTGCTCGAATCCTGGACGGGCCAAACGAGGCTGGCTGATGTGTGTCGGGCAAACGGGTCCACAGAACCCTCAATTCTGCAAGCAGCTCGTGGTGTCGAAATTCTTCCTAATTCATCAGGAGCAATTTTTGTGTCAATCCTTCGCTGTCCCTCTTACATAACCCTGACCCGTGAAATGACAGGGGCCCCCTTCTGCTCCCCAACGGGCCCCTGAGCATTCTTACCCCTCTGTTTGAACTTCTCCTCCCAACCCCTCTCCATCCCATAATGGCACCCTGCCCAGGCAGGCCCAGTGAAAGTCTCTGTGGGTGGCAGGAGGGTGCGGGGAGAGAGTTTGCTTTCTGCCTTTGTTCCCGAAGGCGAGATGGCAGGTCCCTTTCAGTCCTGCTCCACAATGTGGCTCTTTCTTCCTTGCAGCCCAGAGTCTCCTCCCTCTTGCCCTGGATTAAAAGGAGCTGCGCTTTCCCCTCCTGTGTGGGAACCAGCCTGCCTCTTGCCCTGCCTGGTAGCTGAGCTGGGTAGGTGCCCGTCTCCCCTGGGGCAGGGAAGGCAGTCAGTGACCCCCCCAGTTGCAGGGAAGGCAGCCAGCCCCCAGCCCTGGATTGCAGAGGAGAGCTGGAGCCTCCTTTCCACCTCCAGCCGGGCACCCTTTTGATTTTTCCCTGCTTGGGAATGCGCAGACCTTTGCCACCTGCCCAGCTCCTGCCCCGCCCCTGCCCAGATCTCAGCCAGGACTTTACTCCCAGCCGCCAAAGCAGTCAGGGCCAATGTTCCCTGAAGGGCGATGCCAAGGCATGGGCTGGCCAGGGCCGTCCTGGGCCTCAGCCTTCTCCCCGGTGCCAGGCTCTGGACGGAGGCGTTCCTGAGCCCGACCCTCAGCCCTGCTGCCTTCTTGCTTCGCAGGGCCCTACAGCGGCAGGTGAGCCAGCCAGGGATGGCGGAGAACGGTCTGGCTCGGCGGGAGAAGGTGCTGACCCTTGAGTCCCTGAACCCCTCGGTCAAGAAGGTGGAGTATGCTGTGCGGGGACCCATTGTCACCCGAGCCCTCGAGCTGGAGAAGGAGCTTCAGCAGGTAAGATGGCGGGTGTCTAAAGATTGCCCAGATGTCTGCCTGCCAGGGATTCTTCAGCTGAGATTGCTGCGTTGCAGGGGGTTGGACTAGATGGCCCTTGGGGTTCCCTTCAAATCATTGCAGTTCTATGATTCTAAGAGAGGAACGTGCCCGTCACCGTGGCATCAGGCCAGAGAAGCATCCCACTACTGGCAAGACTCTTCTCTCGCCTTGAGTTGGGGATTTAGCTAGTCGCTTTGGTTTGCAATCAGTCTGCAATGTTTCTAGACCATCGTTCGAACAGAGCGTTCACACGGCTGTAAATCCAGTAAAAGCAACCTGAAACGATATGAAACAAAACAGCTGGAAAGAAAGTAGGGTTTCTGTCTGGCGGGTGTGGCATTTGCTCCAGATGAACCGATCTGTACTGATGCATGTATTGGACACCTTTATCAAAATGTGCAGAGTGGCAGACAGAACTTTGAAATTACATACATAAGGAAGGAACTGTCTGGCGGTAAGAGCTGTTTGACTGGTGTCTCCTTCCTCTGAGGTTTTTAAATAGGGGTTGGATGGCCGTCTGTCAGGAATTCTTTAGCTGTGAACCCTGCATTGCAGGGGGTTGGACTAGATGACCCCTGGTTCTCTTCCAACCCTACAATTCTACGATTCACACAGGTGATAAACGGCTAGACCCAATGTCTTGGAGAACAGAGCCAGAATACACAGCCCGGCTGTCCCCTCTTAAGAAACCATTAAACTAAGGTTTTCCAGCATCCCAAAAGATATTTGCAAGCTGATCTGGGTGCCCCAGGAGTTTCCAAGGTACCAGAGTCTGCCCAACCCTCCCAGACAGACGTGACTTTCAGCCTCTGCACAGCGCCCAGAAGAGGGCAGGGCTCCCAGCAGGTAGACACATTCCTTCAGGAGCTCAGGCTGCAGCAGTGGCGTAGCGTGGGTTGTCAGCACCCGGGGCAAGGCAAGTAATTTGCGCCCCCTAACCCGTGGATTTGCGCCCCCTAACCCTAAACCCCAGATGTTGCGCCCGGTGCGCCCGGCCCCCCTGCACCCCCCACGCTACGCCACTGGGCTGCAGAGGGCTTGACCGATCAAGCCCTCAGTTGCTGCTGCTGCCGGTTTGGAAGAGGGTGGGCTTCCCAAAGGGTCTGTGGGCAGCAGCTGCAGCTCCCAAAAACCTCTTGGAGGGAGCCCAGTGGCGGCAGGTATCAAGGGGGTATGAAGGTTGCCTGTGCTTGTGAGAGTCCTCTGACCCAGAAAGGACTGGAGCCCAACAGGCGAATCTGGTGCACTTGGTTTCTCAGGGGTTGATGATGATGATGGCTGGCAGCCTTAATGGTTGCAGCGAGGGTTCCTTGCATCACACAGGGTTGGACTAAGTGGCCTCTGGGTCCCTTCCAGCTCTAGAATTCTGTGGTTCTAGGTCTGGAGCCCAGCCAAGTCCCGTCCACCTGAAAAGTTATGCCGGGCTTCTTAGTTTTTTGTTTTGTTTTTAAAAAAACTTTTTAATTCAAAATTAAAACAAAACATATTATCCAGAAACATATCATCCTTTTTTTCCTCCCTCCTCCCACCCTCCCACACAAAACCCACCCCACCCCACCCCAGCTTCCCTCAGTTCCAGTCTTTGATTTCTCTGTGAATGCTGTTTTCTGCATGTTACACAGTTGTATAGATCCTCAAACGTTTTAGCTGATTATCATCAATAGAAAAGTTTGTGAATGTTTATTCAAAACCTGCCAAGGAGCCCAGTTCATTTTGTTGCCTCTTCAAATACTTTGTAAAGGGTTCCCAATCATCTTTAAAGTCACAGTTATCCTTGTCCCATAGCTTATATGTCAGTTTTGCCAGTTCTGCATAGTCCATCAGTTTTTCTTGCCATGATTCTTTAGTTGGGGTTTCTTCAGTCTTCCATCCTTGTGCTATTAGAACTCTCGCGGTCGTTGTCGCATACATGAAGATGTTTTTCAGCTTTTTGGGCAGATCTTTCCCTACAATCCCTAACAAAAATGCTTCAGGTTTTTAAACAAATGTTAGATGGAACATTTTCTTCAATTCATTGTATATCATTTCCCAAAATTTTTAAATTACATTACAGTCCCACCACATATGATAAAATGTCCCCCCTTTTCCTTACAATTCCAACATATATTTGAGCTAGTTTTGTACATTTTCCCTAACTGCACTGGTGTCATGTACCATCTGTACATCATCTTCATGTAATTCATCGGGCTTCTTAGTTTAAGCCGGTCTTCCACAAACTGGAGCTGGTAACACTTTCAGTTCCTTAGCTGAGTTCATGGTCCTCAAAGTCCACTGTCAAGTCAGGGCTGGATTTGCGACCCCCGTCCTTTGTTATGCTGAAATCACAATCCCTCTGGTCTCTGGGCTCTTGCAGGGGGGATGTGGGAGCCCTCCTGCTGCTGAACACAGAGTCATCCATGTACGGGATGCTTTGTGCAGTTCCCTGCCCCAAGGGACTTACAATCTAGAAATAGCCGCAAGGAAAACAGTGGGGGAGAATGGAGGGAGGGGCTTGCAGGGAAAGGAGGTCGCTTGCTTGGAAGTGTCTGTAAATGTTGTGCCTCTCTGATCCTGGGCCTCCACACACACACCCCAGCAGATTTGTTTTATTTATTTATTCATAAAATTTATAGACTGCCCCACTGTAAATGATACACAACTCAAAGCGGCTTGCACAAACGATCAAATAATAAAATTACCAATCGGCAACATGAACAACAATAATTAAAAACCTTTGGAAAGGTAAAATAACAACATGCCAAAATCAAATCAAAACTTTCTAAGCTCCCACACAGGCTTGTCTGAACAAGAAGGCATTTAAAAGGTAAAGGGACCCCTGACCATTAGGTCCAGTCGTGACCAACTCTGGGGTTGTGGCGCTAATCACGCTTTGTACAGCTTCCGGGTCATGTGGCCAGCATGACTAAGCCGCTTCTGGCGAACCAGAGCAGTGCACGGAAACGCCGTTTACCTTCCCACCAGAGCGGTACCTATTTATCTACTTGCACTTTGACGTGCTTTTGAACTGCTAGGTTGGCAGGAGCAGGGACCGAGCAACGGGAGCTCACCCCGTCGCGGGGATTCGAACCGCCGACCTTCTGATCAGCAAGCCCTAGGCTCTGTGGTTTAACCCACAGCACCACCCGCGTCCGCAGGTGCCAAAAAGAGGACAGCAAAGGAACCTGCCTGACGTCAATTGGCAGGAAGTTCCAAAGTGTAGCTGGTGCCACACTAAAAGATTTGAGTCTCTCTGCCTCTGCAGTTGGAGTCAGGGATGCTTCTGAATCCCAGGTGCTGGAGTATTCAGGAGGAGAGAATATTTCTCTTGTGCTCGGATCCTGGCTTGCGGGATTCCCTTTGGTGCATCTGGTGGTCCACTGTGACTAATAATAATAATAATAATAATAATAGTAATATTTTTTTATTTATACCCTGCCCTTCCCGGTTCAAAAACCAGGCTCAGGGTGACTAACAACAAATCTAAAACACTTAATTGTAAAAGCAGCATAAAATACAGTATAAAAACATGAATAGCAGTAAAATTCAGAAATCAATTTAGGGGAAATAAGCATTAGATAATCCCCAGGGCTAGCTGGCTGAATTGGTCCTATTTGGGCCAGTGAGGAGACCAGGGGAGAATTAGCTGTGGGATCCCAGAGCAGGTGATCTTCATAAAAAGGGGAGGGGGAGGCAAGAGAACGGAAATAAAAGATCAGGCTGAGTTCAGATTAAAGGCCAGGCGGAATAGCTCTGTCTTACAGGCCCAACGGAAGGAGGTTAAATCCTGCAGGGCCCTGGTCTCATGGGACAGAGCATTCCTCCAGGTCGGAGCCATCACTGAGAAGGCCCTGGCCCTGGTGGAGGATAGTCTGACTTCCTTAGGGCCTGGGACCTCCAAACTATGGTTATTCATGGACCTTAATGTCCTCTGCGGGGCAGACCAGGAGAGGCGGTCCCGTAAATACGAGGGCCCTAAGCCACAAAGGGCTTTAAAGGTCAAGACCAGCACCTTGAACCTGACCAGATACGCCACCAGGAGCCACCGGGACGAGCTGGGCCTCCTTTGGCCTGATCCTGCAGGCTCTTCTTGTATTCTGAGTTGCTGGAAGGGTCTCTTCCCTGGGGGATACTTCTCTGTTCCTGGCATCACAACAGCCCTGTCCGCTCCCCCCTGGCTGGCGTCCCCCTTCCCCTGAAGACTCTCACGTCCTCCTGAATGTGCCAGGACTCTGCTGGCTGGGGCAGGAGAGCGGTCACCCAGCGTATTGTCCCACTGCCATGGCAACCTGCACGGTGTATGACTCTGAATGGGGATCCTCGCTCTTCCTCTTGGCTCGACACCCCCTGGCGGGGGAAGCACAAAAGGAGCCTTTCGGGTGAGGAAGGGGGGCTGCCGTTCCTCAGTCCCAAGGAGGCCCCTCACCCTCCAGGCGTCCAGCCAAGCAGAGGACGCTCTCCTGGTTTCGGAGAGAGATGCTCCTCACTGAGGCTGCCAACTGCGGTTCTCCGGTGGGACTTGTTTTCTGGAGAAAAGGAAAGCTTTTGCCGCCTCAAAGTATTTCACTGTAGTAACTAAGGAAGAGGGCGCGGATGGCGCTGTGGGTTAAACCACAGAGCCTAGGACTTGCCGATCAGAAGGTCGGTGGTTCAAATCCCCGTGACGGGGTGAGCTCCCTTTGCTCGGTCCCTGCTCCTGCCAACCTAGCAGTTCGAAAGCACGTCAAAGTGCAAGTAGATAAATAAGTACCGATCCGGTGGGAAGGTAAGCGGCGTTTCCGTGCGCTGCTCTGGTTTGCCAGAAGCGGCTTAGTCCTGCTGGCCACATGACCCGGAAGCTGCACGCCGGCTCCCTCGGCCAATAAAGCGAGATGAGCGCCGCAACCCCAGAGTCAGCCACGACTGGACCTAATGGTCAGGGGTCCCTTTACCTTTTTATATATCCAATAAAGCGGAATGTGAGAAGATTCAGGATAGAAGGAAGGATTTATTCAGGCAGAGCAAACTGTGGAACTCCCTTCCACAAGAGGCAGGGAGGGTCACTATAATATCCTTTTTGATCGGAGGTGACCAGAACTGCACAAAATATTATAAAAGCTGCCACACCATAGATTTATTTGTGTGTGTGTGTGATAAGATTTCTTTGGTGCTGATGCGCGGCTGACTCTGGGGTGGGGCGGAATTGGTGATGCTGGTCGAGGGCTGCCCCCTGTGCCAAAAGCCACACCCACACATCTTCTCCTCTTTGCAGGGGGCGAAGAAGCCCTTCACGGAAGTGATCAGAGCCAACATTGGTGATGCCCAGGCAATGGGGCAGAAACCCATCACCTTCCTCCGCCAGGTACGGTCCGAGGGGAGGGTGGCGAGGGGGGCAGCCACAGGTGGGCTGAGGAAGGGATGCAGGGGATGGAGCCCCAGAGACAGCCCTGGGTGGGAAGGGGAGGGGAGGACCAGGAGGCCAGACCTGTTGGATTTCTGCCTGGCCCAGAACTGTTAATAATAAAATAATAATAATAATAATAATAATAATAATTATTATTATTATTATTATTATTTATATCCCGCCCTCCCCAGCCGAAGCCGGGCTCAGAGCGGCTAACACCAGTAAAATGATACAACATTTTAAAATCATTTCATTATAAAATCAGTTCAAATCAGATTAATGGCAGCCATTGGGCTAGAGTTCTGTGAGGATTACCAAAGGAGGGGGTCAGGCTGTGCCTTGGCCAAAGGCCTGGTGGAAGAGCTCCGTCTTGCAGGCCCTGCGGAAAGATGTCAAGTCCCGCAGGGCCCTAGTCTCTTGGGGCAGAGCGTTCCACCAGATCGGGGCCACAGCCGAAAAAGCCCTGCATCTGGTTGAGGCCAGCCTAACCTCCCTGTGGCCCGGGACCTCCAAGATGTTTTTGTCCATGGGACATACCAGGAGAGGCGGTCCCGTAGGTACGAGGGTCCTAGGCCGTATAGGGCTTCAAAGGTCAAAACCAGCACCTTGAACCTGACCCTGCACTCCACCGGGAGCCAGTGCAGCTGGTATAGCACCGGGTGAATGTGATCTTGCAGAGAGGACCCCGTAAGGAGTCTCGCTGCAGCATTCTGCACCCGCTGGATTTCTGGGTCAGTCTCAAGGGCAGCCCCATGTAGAGCGAGTTACAATAATCAAGCCTGGAGGTGACCATTGCGTGGATCACTGTGGCCAGATCAGGGCGAGAGAGGTAAGGGACCAACTGCTTAGCTTGGCGGAGATGAAAAAATGCCACCTTTGTTAAAAGCTTAGGGGGAAAGTGGCTGGGGTGGTGGGGATATTTGAGTCCCTTGAGTTTCCATTGATCAAATTGGATTAATGGGGGATGGTGGGAGTTGTAGCCCAAAGAGCCAGAGGGCGCCTGCTTGGCAGAAGTCTGACTGAGAGTGTGCAACTCACTAGACTGAAATGGGAGGGTTTTGGGAACCACGGAGGCTGGTTTTCAGCTTTGCTCTCTCCTGGCAGGTCAGCGCCCTCTGCATGTTCCCGGACCTCTTGAAGGACCCCAACTTTCCAGAGGATGCAAAGGAGAAGGCCCGGAGGCTGCTGGCGGCGTGTGGGGGGCACAGCATCGGTGAGCCCCCTTTGCCTTTCCTCTGGCATCTATAATATTCCACCTTGTCACAAATTCCAGATCTGCTGGTCCAGGAGTTCTGAAATATACTCGGAGTTGAGAGTGGATTTCATGCTCTTTATTCAGCTCATAGTGGTGAGGAGGAATGGAAGTTCCCCCAGAATGTCTGCTTCATATACATTATTTACACAATGGGCCCCACGTGATTGGCTAATTCCGGGATTCACCAGTAGGCCAATCAGGTTGCGGCTTCACTTCCACCTGGAGCTGGATTGGGTGGCTCCTGTGGACCAATCAGACTGCTGCATTCTGGATCCTATTCAACTCAGTACATAACAAGTTCCTTCTCTCCTCCTCTCTCTCCCACCTTCAGGTGCCTACAGTGTCAGCCCTGGAATTGAGCTCATCCGCCAGGATGTGGCTCACTTCATTGAGCGTCGGGACGGCGGAATCCCCTCCAGGGCGGAAAACATCTTCCTGTCTACAGGCGCCAGCGATGCGATTGTGGTATGGGGGGCGCAGTTTGCTTGGGGCTAGAGAGTGGGCGAGGGCATGAAGTGGGGTGGCGAGGTTTGGTTGCAGGATTGGGGCTGCTCCATTAACCCCACCACCACCACCACCTCTGAGACTCCCTCTTGGTCTGCCCCTTAGACGATCCTGAAGCTGCTGGTCTCAGGGGAGGGGCGCTCCCGTACGGGGGTGATGATCCCCATTCCCCAATACCCGCTTTACTCCGCTGCTTTGGCCGAACTCAACGCCGTGCAAATCAACTACTACCTGGACGAGGACAAATGCTGGGCCCTGGACATCGGGGAGCTGCGGAGGGCCCTGAAAGACGCTCGCCAGCACTGCCAGCCCCGTGCCCTCTGCATCATCAACCCGGGCAACCCCACCGGTAGGTCCCCGAAGCTCAGGGTACCCCAGCTGCAGGGGCAGCCTTGGGCGGTATCTGCCCTTTCCCGCTTATGGGGTATCCAAGAGCCCATATAGAGTCCTTACATAGGTTCCCTAGTGGTAGGAGAAGATAACAGAGGCCAACCAGAGAATATTGCTAGTAAGCCTAATCTTTATTGATCTGTTGCAACAGGGTCCTCACTCACCACACGCAGGAGGGAGGAGGAACCCAGAACAATGGCGCTCAAGGCTTTATATAGACATTTTAGATTTCCTGCCCTGGAGCTCCAGACCACCCCTCCATACATCATACACACATCACAAAAGGGGGTGTAACCTAAGACCACCCCCCATATACATCATACCTATATCACAGAAAAGGCGGTCTACAGCAGAAATCTGAGTGCATTGTTGTTTATCTCGTCTGACAGGTTACCTGTTTAATGGTCACTTGATTGGATTGCCTGGGGAGCCTGGCCTGTCTTTTGTAATGATAAATACTTAGTTCCTGAGCCAGGTCACAGACTCACACCCTATTCATATCTTAAATGTGCCCTTAAGACAGGATTTGTGAAGGAAAAGACAATGGGGAGGCTTTTCCATTTTCCTTTGACCTTGCAGAGAAAACATTTGGGAATCAAAATGGTTCCAGGTTGGCCTTCCTGTGCTGATCTATGTACGTGCTTGGTTGGTACACTTAGGAACATTTAACATGTATCTAAGACCTCAAAATTCCTATCACAGTATGGCGCCCAGTGGAGAGCAGAGCATCTCCCCCTGCAAACTTCTCTTTGTCTCCTCTTCTCTCGCCTCAGGGCAGGTCCAAAGTCGCCAGCACATCGAAGATGTCATCCGCTTTGCCTGGGAGGAACAGCTCTTCCTCCTGGCTGATGAGGTGAGACTTTGGGACCCTCACAACCAAAGGCAGTGATCCTTCTGCACACCAGTTGCTGGTCCCACTTGTGGGTTTCGCAACAGAGGCACTGGGAGGACAGGATGGTAGACTAGGTGGGCCTGATCCAGCACCCAGGCCCTTCTTATGTTCTTGTGCATCCCTCTTGCTCCATTGACTCATTGGGCCAAGGTCAGGTGGTCTCTCTTCTGGGAAATAGGCTGGGAATGAGAGAGGCCAAGGCAGAACATCCGTACTCTGATTCATCAAGCCTCCTTGCTCCAAGATGTCCTGGAAACTGTGCCAGGGCCTTAGAGACCCCCCCCCTTTTCCTCTTGGCCCCTTGGCCTCATTTACTTACTCACTTACTTATTTAACTTAGTAGTTGCTCGTCCCCCAAAGGTCCCCAAAATATATTCGTAAACATGATAACAGGGGGGAACAGAATTGGGAGGAATCATATAACACATTGCTATTTCATATAACATACAACTTACGGGAAAACAAGAGCAAGCCACCAGCCCCATAAATGGTAGCAAATGACGTTAACAATATTCAAACAATGAGCAAAACAGGGGGGTGGGTGGGTGTGGGGGACTCCCTGGTCCTGAATGGGGTGACTGGGCCCCTGAAGGACCAGGTGCGCAGCCTGGGAGTCATTTTGGAGGCTCAGGTCAATTCTGTGTCCAGGGCGGCTCCATCTGGTACGCAGGATGAGACCCTATCTGCTCGCAGTCTGTCTCGCTAGAGTGGTGCGTGCTCTGGTTATCTCCCGCTTGGACTACTGCAATGAGCTCTATGTGGGGCTACCTTTGAAGGTGACCCAGAAACTACAACTACTCCAGAATGCAGCAGTGAGACTAGTGACTGGGAGCAGCCGCCGAGACCATATAACACTGGTCTTGAAAGACCTACACTGGCTCCCAGTACATTTCTGAGCACAATCCAAAGTGTTGGTGCTGACCTTTAAAGCCCTAAATGGCCTCGGTCCAGTAGATCTGAAGGAGCGTCTCCACCCCCATCGTTCTGCCCGGACACTGAGGTCCAGCACTGAGGGCCTTCTGGCGGTTCCCTCGCTGCGAGAAGCCAAGTTACAGGGAACCAGGCAGAGGGCCTTCTTGGTGATGGCACCCGCACTGTGGAACGGAAGCTAAACAGCCATGTTTAGGGAAGATTTTAATGTTTAATAGGTTATTGTATTTTAGTGTTCTGTTGGAAGCCGCCCATTATTTTCATTGATGCTTGCGCGCCAACCCTGTGCCCCTTCCACCCCCAAGGTCTACCAGGACAACGTTTACGCCGAGGGATCCCAGTTCCACTCCTTCAAGAAGGTGCTCTTTGAGATGGGGCCCAAGTACTCGGGCAGTGTGGAGCTAGCCTCCTTCCACTCCATCTCCAAGGGCTTCATGGGCGAGTGAGTAGCCTCTTCTGCTGCACTGCCTGGGGGATAGCCTCTTCTGCCTCCTGTGAAATGGAAAGAGGGGAGAGTCTGGCTTCTTCCCTGGCTTAAAATCTCCTGCCTAATATGGAGCCAGGAAGAGTCGGGTGGATATTTTAATATTTACGTTTGGACCAATCCTACTGCACAGTTTTGCCCACTTCCTTATGTCGTCAGGTGCGGCTTCCGAGGTGGTTACATGGAGGTGATTAACATGGACCCCTTAGTCCAGCAACAGCTGAGCAAGCTCATCTCTGTGCGCCTCTGCCCACCAGTGACTGGGCAGGTCCTCTTGGATGTCGTTGTGAATCAGCCTCAGCCTGGAGACCCTTCCTACCAACAGTTCTGCCAGGTGAGTAAAACGGGGGCTGGCGGTGCATTGAGGGGAACTGAGGAATTTTGGAATCACAGCCAATAGCAAATTGTTGTTTAGTCGTTTAGTCGTGTCCGCCTCTTCGTGACCCCATGGACCAGAGCATGCCAGGCCCTCCTGTCTTCCACTGCCTCCCGCAGTTTGGTCAAACTCATGCTGGTAGCTTCAAGAACACTGTCCCACCATCTCGTCCTCTGTCGTCCCCTTCTCCTTCTGCCCTCCATCTTTCCCAACATCAGGGTCTTTTCCAGGGAGTCTTCTCTGCTCATGAGGTGGCCAAAGTCTTGGAGCCTCAGCTTCAGGATCTGTCCTTCCAGGGAGCACTCAGGGCTGATTTCCTTCAGAATGGAGAGGTTTGATCTTCTTGCAGTTCATGGGACTCTCAAGAGTCTCCTCCAGCACCAGAATTCAAAAGCATCAATTCTTTGGCAATAGAAACTGCCAATATTGTCATGCCTTTAGAACTGTGGTTCCCAAAGTGGGTGGTAGTGCCCCCTGCTGGTGATTCCTGGGTTGGGGGTGCACTAAGAGGCAAGTGGCAGCAGGGGGCAGTGGAGGTGTAAATGACTATCGGGACTTTGAAAAGCTGGTGGATTAGCTGAATGCCAGCTGTGCTAGTGGTGAACAAGCACTCCCCCCCCCCCCATCACATGTTGGCAAGCAGAGAGGTGAGGCCACATCAGTCTAATAACTCTCCCATTTTGCCAGGTCACCTGCATGGAGATGTCTTTGGGCCAGCAGGTAAAAGGTAAAGGTAAAGGACCCCTGGACGGATAAGTCCAGTCAAAGGCGACGATGGGGTTGCGGCCCTCATCTTGCTTTCAGGCTGAGGGAGACGGCGTTTGTCCACAGACAGCTTTCCATGTCATGTGGCCAGCAGGACTAAGCCGCTTCTGGTGCAACAGGACACCATGACGGAAGCCAAAGCGCACTGAAACACTGTTTAACTTCCTACCGCAGCTGTACCTATTTATCTACTTGCACTGGTATGCTTTCGAACTACTAGGTTGGCAGGAGCTGGGACTGAGCAACGGGAGCTCACCCCGTCATGGGGATTCGAACCGCCAACCTTCTGATCGGCAAGCCCAAGAGGCTCAGTGGTTTGGACTTTGTTGTTGTTGTTTAGTCGTTTAGTCGTTTCCGCCTCTTCGTGACCCCGGGGCCCAGAGCACGCTGGGCACTCCTGTCTTCCACTGCCTCCCGCAGTTTGGTCAAACTCATGCTGGTAGCTTCAAGAACACTGTCCCACCATCTCGTCCTCTGTCGTCCCCTTCTCCTTGTGCCCTCCATCTTTCCCAACATCAGGGTCTTTTCCAGGGAGTCTTCTCTTCTTGTGAGGTAGCCAAAGTACTGGAGCCTCAGCTTCAGGATCTGTCCTTCCAGTGAGCACTCAGGGCTGATTTCCTTGAGAATGGAGAGGTTTGATCTTCTTGCAGTCCATGGGACTCTCAAGAGTCTCCTCCAGCACCAGAATTCCAAAGCATCCGTTCTTCGGCGATCAGCCTTCTTGATGGTCCAGCTCTCACTTCCATACATCACTACTGGGAAAACCAGAGCTTTAACTTATACGGACCTTTGTTGGCAAGGTGATGTCTCTGCTTTTTAAGATGCTGTTTACGTTTGTCATTGCTTTTCTCCCAAGAAGCAGGCGTCTTTTAATTCCGTGGCTGCTGTCACCATCTACAGTGATCATGGAGCCCAAGAAAGTGGTTTAGACTAGGGGCGTACGTAGTGGGGGGTGGAGGGGGCGGGTTGCCCCAGGTGCCACTCTGGAGGTGTGTGTGTGACAAGATGGCCCCTGCCTCCCCCCAGCTGTGGAGCATCTGAGGGTGTGTGCAGTCAGTATTGGCGCTGCTCGTGCTGCGTCCATACGGGAGTTTGTATAGGCTGCCTCTCACACGGTGACTGTACAGGCTGCCGCGCATGCGCACTCCGTATAGACGTCGCATGTGCGCCACTGGGTGGTGTGTCCTGCCCCAGGTACCAAAGAGAGTTCCTCCGTCACTGGTTTAGACCACAGTGCCACCTGTGTCCCTATTTGGGCCTGTAGGGGTGAGAGATGAATTGTGGCCATTCATGGCCCCTTCCTGGTTCCTTTCCTCCACCCTCTGACCTGGAGGGTCTCTCTTCCTCCTCACGATGCAGGAAAAGCAGGCCGTGCTGAGCTCTCTGGCCCAGAAGGCGCAGCTCACGGAAGAGACCTTCAACCGAGCGCCCGGGATCCGCTGCAACCCCGTGCAGGGGGCCATGTACGCCTTCCCCCGAGTTCATCTCCCACCCCAGGCTGTGCAAGAGGCACAGGTAAGGCCACACCTCCACCTGGGGCTGCAACTCCAGTATCCTCTTTCCAGGGAGGGGCCAGGACTCAGGGGCAGGACAGATGCTATGTGTGCAGAAGAAGGCTGCAAGTTTGAGCCCCGGTCTCTCCAGATGGAAGGATCTCTTTGCCACAAAACGCTTCATTGCTTTCGTCGCATTTATCTATTCATGCAAATATTTGCATATCGCCGCATCACTTTAAAAGGTATATCAAAGCGGTTGGCAGCAATAAATACATAAATCCATGCAATAAAACTGCAAAGAAGTTAAACCATGCATCATTTAAGAGTTGTGGAAAGGTGGCCTTCTCAATTGCCAGTCTAGGCCTGGCAGAATAGAAGATGTCTGCTGAATCTCTAAGGTAGAAGTTTCCACAGGACAGGCCTGGAGACATTTCTCATTGTCGTCCCATGAGCCTCACCATGGGCTTGGGTTGACCAGGTACCTTTTTGGAAGTTGTGTGTCTTTGATTCTTTGTCCTGCCTGGGACTCCCCTTCCAGAACTTGGCTGCCCATCTCCAGAGCACTGAGCTCCCTCAGCTTCCAAGCTGGTAGCATCCCACTCCCATCTCTCCAGAACATGGACTGGCTCCCATCTCCCGGCCCCCCACCCCAAAGCATCTCTATGTCACTAGCTCTTGTCTCCCCCTTCCCTTCTCCCAGGCCCTGGGCCAGGCGCCAGACATGTTCTTCTGCCTGAAGCTTCTGGAGGAGACGGGCATCTGTGTTGTGCCAGGGAGTGGCTTTGGCCAGAAGGAAGGGACCTTTCACTTCAGGTAAAGACCCTCTTGGTTCCCTGTGGTCTCTCTCCATTCCTGGGACTCCAGGTGGGGTCTCAGGCTCTCACCCCCATCGTTCTGCCCGGACACTGAGGTCCAGCTCCGAGGGCCTTCTGACGGTTCCCTCACTGCGAGAAGCCAAGTTACAGGGAATCAGGCAGAGGGCCTTCTCGGTGGTGGCACCCGCCCTGTGGAATGCCCTCCCACCAGTTGTCAAAGAGAAAAACAACTTTCTGACTTTTAGAAGACATCTGAAGGCAGCCCTGTTCAGGGGAGTTTTTAATGTGTGACATTTTGATGTATTTTTAATCCTTGTTGGAAGCCGCCCAGAGTGGCCCTTGGAGCTGGATCTCAGTGTCTGGGCTGAACAATGAGGGTGGAGACGCTCCTTCAGGTATACTGGACCAAGGCCATTTAGGGCTTTCAAGGTCAGCACCAACACTTTGAATTGTGCTCGGAAATGTACTGGGAGCCAATGTAGGTCTTTCAAGACTGGTGTTATGTGATCTCGGCTGCTGCTCCCAGTCACCAGTCTGGCTGCTGCGTTCTGGATTAGTTGTAGTTTCCGGGTCACCTTCAAAGGTAGCCCCACATAGAGCGCATTGCAGTAGTCCAAGCGGGAGATAACCAGAGCATGCACCACTCTGGCCAGACTGTCTGGGGGCAGGGAGGGTCTCATCCTGCGTACCAGATGGAGCTGGTAGACAGCTGCCCTGGACACAGAATTGACCTGTGCCTCCATGGACAGCTGTGAGTCCAAAATTACTCCCAGGCTGCGCACCTGGTCGCTTCCTTTAAAGGACGATTGGACACATTCATGGAGGAGGAGGAGAGGGCTACTGGTGGCTGTGAGCTCTGATGGCAATGTTCTGCCTCCACAGTCAGACGCAGCCAGGCTTCTGAGTCCTAGTTGCTTGAAGGCTCCAGTGCTCAGGTCCTGCTGACAGGGTCTCAGTCTTACTTGCACGCGAGAAAGAGAGGGTTGCCTCTGTCAGGCGATGGGCGGATAAGGTGCTCCTTGGGTCTCTTCCAGCTCTACACTCCTTTGAGCCAGTGTGGTATAGTGGTTAAGAGCAGTGGACTCATATTCTGGTGAACCGGGTTCGCTTCCCTGCCCTTTCACATGCAGCCAGGGCCTTGCAGAGGCCCAGGCCAGGTAGATAATGCCCCCCCCTTTTTTACCCTGGGGATAACTGAAGTCCTATACATAAGTAAGTATTGTTATGTACTGAGTTGAATAGGATCCAAAATGCAGCAGTCTGATTGGTCCTAGAACAATAGGATCCAGAATGCAGCAGTCTGATTGGTCCTGGAATAATAGGATCCAGAATGCAGCAGTCTGATTGGTCCTAGAACGATAGGATCCAGAATGCAGCAGTCTGATTGGTCCTAGAACGATAGGATCCAGAATGCAGCAGTCTGATTGGTCCTAGAACAATAGGATCCAGAATGCAGCAGTCTGATTGGTCCTAGAACAATAGGATCCAGAATGCAGCAGTCTGATTGGTCCTAGAACAATAGGATCCAGAATGCAGCAGTCTGATTGGTCCACAGAAGCCACCCAATCCAGCTCCAGGTGGAAGTGAATCCGCAACCGGATTGGCCTACAGGAGAATCCCGGAATTAGCTAATCACGTGGGGCCCATTGTGTAAATAATGTATATAAAGCAGACATTTCGAGGGAACTTCCATTCCTCACCACTATGAGCTGAATACAGAGTATGAAATCCACTCTCGACTCCGAGTAGATTTCATACATAAATAATTTTCACAAAAGTTATGCTGACAAATAATTTTATTTCAAGGCTTGAACCGTATCTGCATATAAAGACAAAATGGAAAATATAGATAAATATGCTGGCTGAGGTCCCCTTTGGAATCGGAGGCCTGGGCCAAGTGGCCCATATGCCCCCCCCCCGTCTGGGCCTGCATGCAGCTGCTGGGTGACCTTGGGCCAGTCACACTTCTCTGAAGTCTCTCAGCCTGACCTACCTCACAAGGTGTCTGTTGTGGGGGTGGAAGGGAAAGGAGATTGTGAGCTGCTTGGAGACTCCTTCGGGTAGCGATAAAGCGGGATATCAAATCCAAACTCCTCTTCTAACTCTTCTTCTTCTGTGAACCTCTCCTTTCTCGCTCTGCCCCAGAATGACCATCCTGCCGCCCCTGGAGAAGCTGAAGGTTGTCTTGCAGAAGATGAGCCAGTTCCACGCCAAATTTACCCAGGAATATTCTCAGCTCCAGCTGCTGGGCAACAGCCAGAAGACAGCAGAGAAGCAGGGGCAATAGGGTGGGGGCTCTTGCCCGAATCTCCTCCCTGCCTTCATGCCACTGCCAGTGGGACTCCCGACCCAGAAGGCACGGTCTGGAACTGGGATCAACTCTGCTCTCCGGAGAGCAGCCTCTGACGCACTTCAGAGCCCCTCTTAATAGCTCGTTCCCATAGACAAGGCCTCAGTGTACTGGGAGGGGGAATGGGCACAACCTGGTCTCGGCTCCCAGGGACCTGGCACCCCCTTTCCCTTGGCTCACGATGCCATCTCTGCCATGCCTCCTCAGAGAGAAGAGCCTTCGCAGCTTCCCAGTCTGGCTTCTCTGCCCTCCAGATGGACAAGAGGGTGGGTGGCAGAGAAGGGGCGGCAGTGGGGTGTCTCTGGGGTGAGCAGAATGAGCAGTGGGGCAGGTGTCAAGCCCCACAAAGTCACCTTCTGCTCGGACTTTGAGCCCTGATGTAGACCTGAGACAATTCCCTCTGTGAACGGAGGGGGGTGGGATAGCTGAGGGTCTATTAAAGCCCCCATGATAAACCAGAGCCGCCTCCGGACTGTCACTGAGGGGCTTTCCAGACTGCTGCCATTTTAGGGTGGGATTCAGTCCTGTGCCAGCAAATCCTGGTTGTAAAACTGGAGCGGATTTGGTGCTTCTGCCCTCCCAAGAGAAGCTTGTCTTTTTGCAGGAAGGGAAGTGGTGGGGAAATGCTGTGGAGCATGGGAGAACCCTTGCTTGGTGCAACATCATTTACCATATTTTTCGCCCTATAGGACGCAATTTTTCCCCTCCAAAAATGAAGGGGAAATGTGTGTGCGTCCTATGGGGCGAATGCAGGCTTTCGCTGAAGCCTGGAGAGCGAGAGGCGTCAGTGCGCACCGACCCCTCTCACTCTCCAGGCTTCAGGAAGCTATCCGCAAGCCTCGTGTGCCTGGCGGGAGGTCCTGCCGGGCGCGCAAGGCTTGTGGGCAGCAGCCTGCAGCCCGAAGCACAGGGCGCGCTGCGTAGCACGCCCCGTGCTTTGGACAGATGTGGGCAAGCCTCACGTGCCCTGCAGGAGGTGCCGCCGGGCGCGCAAGGCTTGGGGCGGCAGCCTGTTCTGGGGGTTGGGGGAAGCTCAGGCTTCCCCCGTGCCAGCCCCCACGCCTGGGGGGGAAATAATTTCCCCCCCTTTATTTCTCCCCCCAAAAAACAAGGTGCGTCCTATGGGGCGGTGTGTCCCGTGGGGCGAAAAATACGTTAACTTCCCTGCAAGCCTTCTGCAGACAAATTGGAACCAAGGCTCAGTCAGTGGGGTTTCTGCAGAAGGGATTCAAGAGCGGACTGGGCATTTACTGAGGTCGGCAAAGTTAAAACACTCTGTTGCCCAAGCTCAACAAATCAACTTTTAATAAGCCTTTTGTGGTTAGGAAAGTGATGAGAAATGTACACATAAGCACACCCTGTGACCTCTAGGTATAGGGCAGTATATAAATTCAATAATAAAGAAAGAAAGAAAGAAAGAAAGAAAGAAAGAAAGAAAGAAAGAAAGAAAGAAAGAAAGGTGAATACTCAGTAAGCAGGTTGCCTGGAGGAATCCTAGCCTGGAAGGGGGAGTCTCCCCTTCTGTGCCTTCCAGCCAACGGCATTTGGAAGCAATTGCTCTCTCCAACGGTGGACTCAGAGTGTAGACATCTGGCTTAATAGCCATTGATAACCTGCTTCTCTGTGAATTTTGTCAGTTTCTTTTAAAGTCGTCTCAGTTAGTGGCCCTCCCTGCCTCTTGTGGAAGGGAGTTCCACAGTTTGCTCTGCCTGAATAAATCCTTCCTTCTATCCTGAATCTTCTCACATTCTGCTTTATTGGATATATAAAAAGGTAAAGGGACCCCTGACCATTAGGTCCAGTCGTGGCCGATTCTGGGGTTGCAGTGCTCATCTCACTTTACTGGCCGAGGGAGCCGGCGTACAGCTTCCGGGTCATGTGGCCAGCATGACTAAGCCGCTTCTGGCGAACCAGAGCAGCGCACGGAAACGCCATTTACCTTCCCGCCGGAGCGGTACCTATTGATCTACTTGCTCTTTGACGCACTTTCGAACTGCTAGGTGGGCAGGAGCAGGGACCGAGCAACGGGAGCTCACCCCGTCAGAGGGATTCGAACCGCTGACCTTCTGATCGGCAAGCCCTGGGCTCTGTGGTTTAACCCACAGCACCACCTGCGTCCCTTTATTGGATATATAAGTGGCGTAAATTGATGGCACAGCTTATACTGGGAAGAAGAAGCAGAAGAAGACGGAAATACATTCTGTTTTTCCCTAACTCATTCCATTTTTCTTCTGTCACCCAAGGTGTGGTAAGAATTCACCTCTACGCCGCGTTGTTCGTTTCCCAGGTGAGGAAACCTTTTGTTTTGTTTTTTTAAATGCTTTTTATTGATTTTTCATTTCACATAAACAAACCAAATACAATAATGCTCCATAATCATATACCCACTTTCTTTCTCAACACTCTGCCGAGCACTGACTTCCCTCCCTCCCTCCTCCAGCAGGTTCTCTTACTCCAATTCCCTCTCCACAGTTTCTTAATAATTTCCCAACCACGTCATAAGATTTATTTCAGTCCTACTAGAGTCTTCAGACTTCTACAGTTATTACTTATATACTCCACAAATTTGCTCCACTCTCTTCGGAACTTTGTTTCCTCCTGGTTGCGGATCCTGTAGGTCAGTTTTGCTAATTCCGCTAATTTGACCATCTTCATCTGCCACTCCTCCACTGTTGCTAGTTCCTGTACTTTCCATTTTGGGGCTAACAAGGTTCTAGTAGCAGTCGTAGCATACATAAATAACCTTTGTCTATTTTTTCCATTTCCTCTCCCATCAAGCCGGAACAACCACTTTTTGAATAAACTACAGAACCAAGGAAACTATTTCCAAGTCCAGCGTCCAGATTTAGGGACCCAGCATTTATTATAGCTATGGCAATAGGGCAGAGCTCACTCAACGTGCCAGTTGAGAAAAGTTGATATACCGTATTTTTCGCTCTATAAGACGCACCAGTCCATAAGATTCACCTAGTTTTTGGAAGAGGAAAACAGAAATTAAAAAATTCGGAATCCCATAAGCCAGGACAGCCAGCGGGATCGCTCCTTACAGAGCTCCACAGAGAACTTCATGAAAAGCTTCTAGCCATCTTCATTCAGGGCCATAGAACAGCCTATCGGAATGTGAGCAATATTTCTACATCTGCCTTGATTATCTTCAATAAATCTATGTATGAGAGCTTTGTGGAGAGAGGAATCTGCAGACAGAACACCTGCTATGTTATTCTGTGGAATGTGTGTGTGTGCTTGAATACCCCGAAACGTAAAGGAGCGATAGAACCAGCAATTTCCCAATACCTGTGGATATTTCAGTCGTTTTCAGAAGAAATTGGGCCACCGTCTCTGAGCACTGCATGGACTCAGCATTTATCACTTCCTATAAAAAGAAAAGCAGAAAAGAGAAGGGTCTCTCACCCCAAATGAGGCCAGGGTAAAAGCAACTGCAATATTTTAAGACAGAATATTTATTGATTTATTTCATAACATTTATGTACCACTAAATTGTAAAAAAACCCCACAAAGCAGTTGACAAAGAAAAGAAAACAAAAAGATTGTAAAACTGCAAAGCCCCCCATTTTTTTTTTAAATATTCAAGCATAAAACCAGTAAAACTAAAAACTAGACGAAAACACACAAGCGTTTGAAATATCTGGGCTGGTTTGTTTAAAAAAAGTTAAAATTTTTCAGCATGCATTGAAAAGGGTACTGTTATGTACTGAGTTGAAAGGATTCAAAATGCAGCAGTCTGTTGGTCCAAGAACAATAGGATCCAGAATGCAGCAGTCTGATTGGTCCACAGGAGCCACCCAACCAGCTCCAGGTGGAAGTGAATCCGCAACCTGACTGGCCTACAGGAGAATCCTGGAATTAGCCAATCACATGGGGCCCATTGTGTAAATAATGTATATAAAGCAGACATTCTGGGGGAACTTCCATTCCTCCTCACTACTATGAGCTGAATAAAGAACATGAAATCCACTCTCGACTCTCAGGTAAGTTATATATATATAACTTTCCCGACATCCACGACAGCTGTGTCCACACTAGGGCATAAATACCCACTCCTGTGGGTCACGGCTTCCGCTGGGCACTTTTGATTCATGCCTCCCAAATCCACCTCCCTCTTTCCTGTCCCCACTGGTGGGCAGTGCCGGGTGGGAGCTCCTCACACTCTTTGGGGCCCCTTCTCTGCCCTGCGCCCCACAGCGCCAGCCAGGATGAGGTGTGAGTGGCAGGATTTGTCCCAGGAGGGCGTGTCGGGTTCCCAGTGGGGTGGGTGTGACGACACCCTGAGCAGCCGGACCAAACATCTCCCCCACCTGAGCATTGGGGGGGGGGGCTATCAGTGTTTTTAATAACCAACAGACAAAGAAATAAGTCACTGCTGAGGTGCAGCCCCAGTTGTGATGCTCAAAGTGGTTATGGTGATGAGTCCACAGCTGCTCCCATTGGCTGGGGGCTGTCTATGATGTCACAAAGGCATCTGTCAGTTGCCTGGCTATAAAGGTGGCCTCTCCCTCTTCCCAGCACAGACCTCGGTGGGCAGCAGCTCTGGGGGGTCTCCTTCCTCAGGGAGGCAAAATGGCAGGAGGAAGGAGGCACTCATCCTGCAATGGGATGCTGAGGAACAGGCAGAAGGCAAGTTCGCTTGCTGGGTGGGATCGCAGCTTGAAGGCAGCCGATTCTCACAGTCAGAAGCTGGCTGGTGTCTGGTAACAGACCTGGCAGAAGCCGGCAGGTGTTGGTGGCTGGTGGAGTTTGCAGTCAGAAGCCAGCGGGTGCCGTAAGGTGCTGCAGGTGTCAGCTGGCTGAAGGTCACCTTTGGAAGTCAGTTGACAGAAGCCGTGTGGATATTCATGACTTGAAGCTGGGTGTGTGTGTGTGTGTGAATGCGTCCACAGACATTCCTCACGGGATGGCAGATGGCATGTGTCTATGAGTGCAAATGGGAGGTTTCGAATAGAGTGTGTCTATGAGTGCAAATGGGAGGTTTCGAATGGAGTGTGTCTGCGTGTGTGAATGGGAGCATTCGGACGTGGTCCAGGTAAGTAGTGTTGTGGCTGGGAAATACGTGCTCAGCGGGTGGCAGATGCCATCCTCTGGGCGCAGGGTGAATGGAACCAGTGGATATTCATGGGCAGAAACCAGCAGAAGTTGACCAGGACGTCCGGGGTGAAGTTGCCAGGCAGCAGCCAGTGGAGGGTCTGGCTGAGGCTGCTGGACGGAGGCCATCCCACTCACCGTGGTGTTTGCCTTCCAGGAAGCCGGTGAGGTTTTCCCCAAGACCGATCGTGAAAGTAATGAAGAGAACAGCAGGACTCAAGCAAGGAAGTTTATTTTCCTAAAAAAAATGCCTTTTTCAAAAAAGCAAAACTGTGTCTGACCGGTTTCCTATATAGTGGTACCTCGGGTTACATAGGCTTCAGGTTACAGACTCCACTAACCCAGAAATATTACCTCGGGTTAAGAACTTTGCTTCAGAATGAGAACAGAAATCGTGCTCCGGCGGCACAGCGGCAGCGGGAGGGCCCATTAGCTAAAGTGGTGCTTCAGGTTAAGAACAGTTTCAGGTTAAGTACGGACCTCCAGATCGAATTAAGTACTTAACCTGAGGTACCACTGTAAAACAAATGCAATGCTAAGTTTCTAAATGCATACATGTTTAGTGTTCTTTTTTGCCCCCTCCCAATGGGGGGGGGGGTTTGCAGGTGTTTCTCTAGTTGTTGCCAATGGCTACGATGATGTCAAAGTTTCTGTGATGTCACAAGCAGACATGGATCGCTGAGAGGAAAAGCTGGAGGGGCAGGGATAGAAAGACAGGGTGAGAAAGGCTAGAGAACTAGATGGCTTTAAAAGAAGACTGGACAAATTCATGGATTCGGTGGGTGCCAGAAGTTGCTGCAGATGTCAGCTTTTTGAAGGTCTCCTTTGGATGTCAGTTGACAGAAGCTGTGTGGAGATTCATGGCTTGAAGCTGGTGTGTTTGTGTGTGTTTATGAATGGAGAGCGGCTGGTGAGCGAATGCGTCCACACACATTCTTCCTGGGATGGCGTGTGTCTGCGTGTGCAAACAGGAGCCTTCGGACATGGTCAAGGTGAACAGTCCTTGTGTCTGGGAAATGCATGTTCCGTATGTTAAGTCTATTCTGCCAACTTAACATATAGAAGAAGAGAACAAGAAGAACATACGTTTGAAGAAGGCTGGAAAACGTTGACTGAATATATGGGGAATAACTATGTACAGATTTCTCGTTGACACTATGCCTGACCTGACACATGTTGACCAACTGATAATTGTGGTTTGATACTGAGCCACTGTCCCCTCCTGCTACTTCCCTTTCCCTGCCCGCAGCTTCCCCCTTTTCTGGCTCTCCTGGGACACCCCCAGGAGACCTTCCTCTTCTGCAGGGGTGAAACCAGGCTTTCTTTCACCCGGGTCAAAGACTCAGTTTGGTACCCTCTCACACACACATTATAGTAGTAGTAGATGAAGAAGAAGAAGAAAATGTGATAATGATCAGGCACATACCAGTGAGTAAGCCCTATTGAACTCAGTGAGACTTATTTCTCAGTAGTAAAGGCTTGCGCTTTAAGGCTCTAAAGAATAAAATAAAATAATAAATACTCCACAAGTTTCCTTGAAAAATTACTAGCTGCTGAACCAAGAAAAGCTCTCAGACCCAGGGAAATTAATTGGTACACAATGCAATCAAAATATGGCTCAAGCAAAAGTGTGGTGCACCCTAAGTTATGTCTTTAAATTTAAATGATAGCTCTGAGTAAAACCTAGTTGGCTACTGTCAGGGAACTGCCATCGGACGGAAGGGAGGTGAAAGGGCTCACACAGGTTGGGAGAGACGCAGCAGCTGAAGAGGAAACCAACAGGGAGGTGAAAGGGCTCACACAGGTTGGGAGAGACGCAGCAGCTGATGAGGGAACCAGCAGGGGAGAGGAGCTGAGCTGGAGGGATGGCTCAGAGACACTTCCAGCGAAAACAGTGGAGAGGTTTCAGGACCTCCTGTAAGAACACCCACTCCCGCCGGAAACTGTCACGCAGAGATTCCAGAAGACGTGTTTCCGTTAAGGAGCTTTTATGTTGGAAGCGATTACGAAAGCAACCACTGTCGGAATCTGCTAGTGACTAGAGTAGCCATGTCTGAGGGGCTCTGTCACAGACAGAGGTTTGTGGACTTGAACAAACTCTGAGGGGATACGATTTTACGCACAAGCAGCTCATCATCCCATCACAGCATTCCGACAGTCTTTGAAAGCAGCTTGTGCAGGAGAAGGTATCATGAGCAACCCAGCCGGAACCGGAGAAGCAGGAGCTGGAGCGGGTCCAAGCCTGGAAGAAAGGTACCAGATGTTGGAGGTCCAGCTAGCGATGCAGACGGCGAGGCTTGAGGAGAGGAGGGCTCAGGATGCAGACAAAGGGGGAAAGCCACCCAGTTCGCCAGAAAGGTACCAGGATTGGTGCAGAAGTTTGGGGGAGCCCAAAACTATCATGGTTTTCGGACAGAAATGCAATATGCCCTCAATCTGCAGTTTGATGAATTCCTGACGAGGAATCACGAGTGGCTTTCGTGATTGAGCATCTTGAAAAGGGGGCGAGAGACTGGGTTAGACCCCTGATGGCAGCGAATAGTGACGTCTTAAAAGACACGATGAAGTTCTTTCGCGCCATGGATCTGATGTTTTCCAGCGATATTGAAAAGGGAGTGGTGCGCAGACAGTTAATGGGTTGCAAACAGGGGAGCCGATCTGTCCGTGAGTACTGGACTGAGTTCACCATGCTTGTTCACAGATTGGGGTGGGACTTATCGGCGGAACCCATTCAAATGCTCTTTGAAGAAGGGCTTTCTTCGGCTGTGAAAGACGAACTTTCCCGGGCGCCCAGGGCGGAGTCTATGGACCAGCTGACCAAATCAGCGCTGGCCATAGGAGCGCGCCAGGAGGCGAGAGCATTGGAGAGGCGGGAAGGGAAAGGGGAACGTTGGAAGGAGTTCCGCATTCCAGACATTCCAGAGCCAACTTTCCCACCGGCAGAGCCGATGGAAATCGGAACAGCGCGCGCGCGCAGTTTCAAAGCCCAGTGAGGGGGCAAAGAAGGAGGGAAAAGGCGCCCGGAAATGCTATCTCTGCCAACAGCCAGGTCACTTTGCCAGAGTCTGCCCCCAGAGGAAAGAATGGCAAGGGATGGTAGGGGCTGTGGATGGAAGAGAGGAAAATATACCGGAGCAAGTAAAGCCAACGCCTGGCTGCCACTGTCAGGGCACAGCAGCCAGGCCAAAGAGCAGTGAGAGTGCCCACGCCAGAACCTCCTAAACCCGCCCTAGTGATAGAAGTGACGCTAGAGCTGCCAAACGGACACCCTCTAAAGATAAAGGCGCTGTTGGACTCAGGCAGCTCCTGCAATTTCATGAGCAAAGAGTTTGCAGCTGAACACCAGATACAGACAATCCTTTTAAGCAGCCCCCTGCAGGTGACCACGATCGATGGCAGGGAGCTGTTGGGTGGAGAAGTCAGCTTGCAGACCGTCCCAATGATAATGAAGGTAGCAAGGCACACCGAACTGATAGCTTTTAATGTGGCCACCTTGGGAGGAGCTCCCATTATATTGGGGATGAGCTGGCTAGCGTTACATGATCCGCTGGTGGGCTGGCATCAGAGAGTGGTTTCTTTTGGTTCAGCACATTGCTTAGAACACTGCAAAGAGGGAAAGGGTTTGGCAGGGGTCCAAGCCACCCTAGCAGGGACTGAAGTAACAGAGAACGTGAAGGTACCACGACAATATGCAGATCTCCGTGACGTCTTCAGCGAAAGGGAAGCTGACCAACTACCCCCGCATAGACCCTTTGACTGTCAAATCAACTTACTCCCTGGAGCACAGCTCCCTGTAGGCAAGCTGTACGCCATGTCAGACAGAGAGATGCAGGAGTTAAGAGAGTTCATTGACAAGAACCTGAAGAGAGGGTTCATCAGAGAGTCCAGGGCGGTGGGGGCAGCCCAGTGTTTTTGTGGATAAGAAAAACACGAACAAGCCGAGGCTGGTGTGTGACTTCAGGGCCTTAAATGCAGTGTCAGAACCAGTAGCCTTCCCTATGCCCAGGATTGACGACATTTTGACAAGGGTGCGGAAGGGAAAGATTTTTACAAAGCTGGACCTAAGGGGGGCGTACAACCTGGTACGAATAAGGAAGGGGGATGAATGGAAAACCACTATGTTCACCCCTTTAGGGGCATTTGAATATTTGGTTATGCCCTTCGGCCTCCAAGCAGGCTCCGCAACCTTTCAATCGTTTATGAACCACGTCCTGGGGCCTTTGCTTTACAAGAATTGTGTGGCCTTGTCAGACGCCGTGTTGGTGTATTCTGAGAATGAGGAGCAGCATGTGAGAGACGTCAGAGAAGTGTTGAGCAGGCTGCAAGCCAACCAGCTGTGGGTGAAACTGGAGAAGTGTCAGTTTCATACCAAGGAGGTGGAATTCCTGGGGTATCGCCTGTCAGACAAGGGATTGGCCATGGATCCCGGCAAGGTCCAGGCTGTGCTGGAATGGAAAGCACCCAAAACAAAGAAGGATGTGCAGAGGTTCCTAGGATTTGGGAACTTCTATCGTAAGTTCATCCGAAACTTTGCCCACCTGACGGCGCCCATTACGGACTGTCTCAGCAGTAAGAAGAAGTTCGTGTGGACTGAGGAGGCGGAGCGAGCATTTGAGGAACTAAAAAGGGCCGTCGCCTCGGAACAACAACTCCTGCATGTGGATTTACAAAAACCGATGAGAGTGGAAACTGACGCATCAGACAGAGCGATTGGGGCGGTGCTTCTGCAGCCAGGCAAGAAGGGGTCAGAGTGGAGACCGTGTGCCTTTTTTCGCGAAAGCTGAACAAATCCGAGAGGAACTACACGGTGTATGACCGAGAACTACTAGCCATTCATGAGGCGTTCCGGAGATGGAGGCACCTGCTAATTGGCGCACAACATAAGGTGCAAGTGTGCACTGACCACAAGAACCTAGAGTATTGGAGGACGGCACGAGTGCTCAACCAACGGCAAGTGAGATGGGCCCAGGAGTTCTCCAAATTTAACTTTGAGATTAGTTACGTGCCAGGCCCAGAGAACATTAGGGCGGACGCTCTCTCACGCAAACCTGAATATTTGGAAGGGGAGGGGGCACCCGAAGAGAGACATGTCATTCCAGAAGACCGCTGGGTGTGTGGGGCGGCATTGGTGGGACAAAGAGAACTGGTAGAGGAAACAGAGAATGATGAATACGCCCAGAATAAGCTCAGAGGTCTTAGGGGTGATGGAGAGGAACCAGGGGGTTTCGAGGAAAGAAATGGAGCTTTGTATTACAAAGGGGCACTGTATATCCCTGAAGGAGAGTTAAGGGGAGGGTACTCAAGCAGTTGCACGACAGCCCTACGGCGGGGCATTTTGGACAACACAAAACCATGTGGTTGGTCACCAGGGAATTTTGGTGGCCTAAGGTGAGGGAAGATGTACGTGAGTATGTAAGAGGGTGCGAGCAATGCCAGCGAGCCAAAGGGGAAAGGCGGGCGCCGGCGGGGCTATTAGAACCCTTACCAACCCCAGAACGACCTTGGGAGGCAGTGTCGATAGATTTTATGACTGATCTGCCGAAGTCCAAAGGGAAAACAGCCATCATGGTGGTGGTAGACCTACTAACAAAGATGTGCCACTTTGTAGCTTGCTCGCATGCAGTCACGGCGGAAGAGACAGCGAAGTTATTTGTAGAAAACATTTTTAGGTTGCACGGGGTGCCATTGAGGGTGGTCTCAGACCGAGGAAAACAATTTACTTCCAGGTTCTGGAGGAAGCTCATGAGCTTACTGCAGGTGGAGGTCAATTTTTCGACTGCCCGGCACCCTGAAACCAACGGGCAGGCGGAAAGAGCAAACGGTGTCCTCCAGCAATACCTGAGGTGTTATGTCAATGACAGAGAGAATGACTGGGTAGAAAAGTTGGCGCTGGCGGAATTTGCCTACAACAATGCCGAGAATGTGTCCACAGGGATGAGCCCCTTCTTGGCTAATTATGGGTGTCATCCCAGGGCTTTCCCAGGGCGAGAGGGGGAGAGATGGAGCGTCCCGGCAGCCGAGCATTTTGTGGAAGAAATGGAAGCAATCCATCGTCAGCTCCAACTCAACTTAGAAAGGGCGAAGGAAGAATACAAGAGGCAGGCAGACAAGAACCGAAGGGAAGGTGAAACCATAAGGGTGGGAGATAGGGTGTGGCTGTCAACCCAAGGGGTGCCGTTCAAAGGAGGTTGTAAGAAATTAAGACCCAGGAGGTTGGGTCCCTTTGAGGTCATTCAACAGGTCAACCCAGTGGCTTTCAGGCTCCGGTTACCCAACCACATGAAACTGCACCCAGTATTTCACAGGTCGTTACTGTCACCGTACGAAGGGGGACGAGAAGGGCTGGCCACTCGGGACCGGTCGTAGAAGAAAGAGAATGCAGCAGCCATGTGGCAGAAATCCTCGACGCCAGGTGGAAGGGGGATCAGGTGGAGTATTTGGTAGCGTGGGAAGGAGAACCGGAGTCAGAAAACACTTGGGTAATGGCTGAAGATATCAATGACGAGGTATTGATAGAAACGTTCCATCAAAGGTTCCCAAGGAAACCTCAGCCTGTAGAGAGGTTCCGGAGGGAATACTTTGGGACCACTGATGAAGGGGAGGAGTTGGAAGGATTCCCGGACTCGGAAGGGGAAGGGGAGATGGACTCTGAGGAGGAGGTGTACTTCGAGACCAGGAACCGCAACAGGTTGAGAGAAGTGTTCGAGACATCGGAAGATGAAGGAAGTTCATTCCGGGTTTTGCCTCCTCACCGCCCGTAGAGGAGGGGGCGAGAGGGGGTGAAGGGGGCCCTGGAGGGGAGGTGGATGTCAGGGAACTGCCATCGGACGGAAGGGAGGTGAAAGGGCTCACACAGGTTGGGAGAGACGCAGCAGCTGAAGAGGAAACCAACAGGGAGGTGAAAGGGCTCACACAGGTTGGGAGAGACGCAGCAGCTGATGAGGGAACCAGCAGGGGGAGAGGAGCTGAGCTGGAGGGATGGCTCAGAGACACTTCCAGCGAAAACAGTGGAGAGGTTTCAGGACCTCCTGTAAGAACACCCACTCCTCGCCGGAAACTGTCACGCAGAGATTCCAGAAGACGTGTTTCCGTTAAGGAGCTTTTATGTTGGAAGCGATTACGAAAGCAACCACTGTCGGAATCTGCTAGTGACTAGAGTAGCCATGTCTGAGGGGCTCTGTCACAGACAGAGGTTTGTGGACTTGAACAAACTCTGAGGGGATACGATTT